GCACGTAAACGCTGGGGATGAGGTGGGGAAGCTGTTTTCTGTACAAACAAGACTCTAGATGCCGGGAACCGCGGTTATCAATGAGGAATGCAGCAATGATAATGAAACTCAACAATCAAGTCCACTCTGAAGTGTTTGGCAAACCATCTCTACTGCCCATCTCTCTCTCTCCCTCCCCCCACCCACCCCCGCCGCACCTTTAACAAGCAACCCAGACTTCGCAAGTAAAGAGAAAGAGATAGCAAATTGTTACCCAGGGGGAAAGAGGAAAGAAAAACGATGAGAGAACCAGAAGCATCAACCACGAAGAAAAGAAAAGGAGGGGAAAACACATACACATTTCTAACGGAAATAGCCTTGGTAGAATTTTCCTGCAAGCCCAAAAAGGCATTCGTCCATACTAAGATTATTTCATAACCTCCCTGCCACAGACTTAGCAACTTAGCAAATATAAAAACCACGACGTTGCTCGCAACTTCACCCTGAGTACGTACCACCCCCAAAAAACACAATCCTCTCCAAAGGAAGGAAGAAAACACACACACAAACACACACACAGCAACATGGACTTCTAATGCTTTTTTGCATTTGCACTCATTTAAATGCTTCATAAATAAACTCCGTTTATTTCGATTGTTGTTGTTGTTGTTATTATTATTATTATTATTATTATTATTATTATTATACTCTTATTTAGGGAAGTGAGCAGAAAGCGTAAGCTGTTTAGAAACGACTGCATTAAAAAGGGCAGAGAGAAAAGTTAATGCATCTAATGAACCACAATGCCAGGGTCATTGCTTTCTTAATAATAATAATAATAATAATAGAACTAACAACTTTCACGATAAATATTGTAATTTTAAAGTCTGTTGCCTAAGGTGTAGAAGAATCCCCTTACCTTTTGCTTCGTTGTCAGAATTGTCAGTGCTGGTGTCTGTGCATTTATTCATGTCCTTCTCAGTTTCCGACGAACTGATTTTGGCAGCGGGGAGACTTTTTTCAGTTTTAATTTCGTTGGCGGACGTGTTCTGAGGGTTATCAGACTTTGCGTTGTCAGGGAAGCTGACTTTAGCTCCTGGTTGGGACAGTGGTGGCGGTTGCTGCTGCTGTGGTTGCTGAGGTGGTGGTGGTGGAGGTGGTGGTGGTGGAGGAGGTGGTGGTGGTTGTGGTGGTTGTTCAAGATGCTCACTCCTTTGGCTGAGGCTCGCCCTGGGTTCAAAACTTGCCTCAAACTCGCTTGGGTTGCTGCAGTTTGACGCCTTTTCCATGGAGGAGTAACCTTGGCTGGCTCGGTAGTAGCTGGGCACGGGGACTTCATGGTCATTTAGGCAAGGTTCAGGCATCTGATTGGGGTAGAGGGTCGCCTCAGTGGCGTTTTTTGCTCTTTTGTCAGCATTGTACATACAGCAAGCATTTTCTTCCTTGACATTGGTTGGGAAAGAGCAGGAGGGGAGTTGTCTCGCAACAGGTTGTTCGATTCGGTAAGTATTTTTGGGGTCACACCAGGTGTCTAGCTGAGAAAGGTAAGATGGATAGGTGTTGAGAGACAGGCTGGCGTTATTCACCTCGTCTCTTTTGGAAAGAGACGGGATAATTCCACAGTTCCTCATCATTCCACAGTTGAAGTCGTTCCCAGATTGCATATACATTCCTTGGTTAGAGGAATAATTCTCCCCTCTGCAGGTACCGGCTAACGAGTCCATCAAAAACGAGTTAGAAGTCACATTGTTGGGACATGACATTTTCAGAGAGGGATTTTAAAGAGGAATACTACAGCCAGGGGCTGACATCTTTTTTTTAGGGAAAAATATCAGCACCATAATTATCCACGCATTGGTCCCAACCACGTGACTGTCAGGCCAATGAGGATTGAAAATGGCCTTGATGATTCAGACGCCGGTGACGTCACCGGGGTCAAGTTGTTGAGAGAGGAGAAAACCAGCGTGGAGCAACAGCGACATCTATCAGTTTCTGAAGGGTAGAGAACCCAGGACCTTCACGTTGAACAAAGGAGAGAGACCCCCTTTTCCTCCAGTTTGTTTACCAATGAACGAACGCGTGTCTACAGCAGAGTGGGGGGGAAATAAAGGAAGCGAACGCGTAAATAGAAGCAAAGTCAAATTCAAATTAAAAGGTCAGCAAAAAATCCACCTTCATCTCCCACTCTTTTCTTTCATTCTTACCCTTTCTTTTTTTCTCGCCTAACCCCTTAAGATAAGTCTAATTTCTTGTGGGCAAATAATTAATCAACCCCAAACCCCAAAAGAACTCCCCCGCCATCCCTTCTCCTTATATCGAATTTCTCTTTCTTTTTCGTTCTCTCCCTCTTTCTTCCCCCGCTCCCCACCCCAGTAGCTAAACTTGAAATGCATGAAAACTGTTCCTTCAGACATTTTTTTTTTCTTGTTTCAGAACTACTTTGGTAGATTCATTTTGATTTGGAAAACAAGCAAACAAACCTCGCTATATTGAATGCAATTCCCTAAAGATGTAGGTCAAAGCACCTTGAGAAATCTGAAGCAGTGTCGTTAGGGTCACTTTATATTAAGTTCAGGTGTTTCTTGCGTGAGGAACCAGCTTAATAACTGAAATGGCGACATTTTAGATTTTGTTTCATGCGAATCGTTCTTCCTAGTCTGTTATAAAATTGTTCTCTCCGTTGGTTTCTCTCTGGAGTACTTTTGTAAAAATATTTCCCCTGCAAATACTGAATGAAACGTTCTTCTCCTTTCTAACAACCCCCAAGCCCGCAAACTTTCATCATTCCTGCTTTCATTGACGCAGAAGCTCTGCACAGGTTTGTTAATAAACTTCCCAAAATTGCATCAAAATAAATATATCAATGGGAGATAGTACAGAAGTATCCTCTACTCTTAGGGTATAAGTCTGGACATTCCCCACCCCTTTTCAGGAAATTACGACAATTAAATAGAATGAAATTTTAAAATATTGGGTATTTTAGGGGTGCTTTATTCAGCAGAAAGGTTGTCCGATCAAACACGGTTTTTTACTTGACCTTATTTTCATTGATTAAACTCCAAGCAAATATCTATGTGTGTTTATTTCTTCTTAATTTCCCTACTCCAGTCTCGTTCAGTCTTTATGATCCTGTCTCCCTTCTCCTTCTCGCTTTCTCCCTCTCTTTTAACTTAACGATCTCAGAATAATAACTGGTATTACAGATATAAAGATATGTTGAACGAGGTGCTTTCATTGTGCTGTTTCCTTTATTAGACGTTTTCTAAACAGGCTAGCAATTAAGCCAAATTATTATTTAGTGTATATCAAATTGACTACACTGTTAGAATCCCGCTTTGACAATGATGTCTATAGTTTTGGGTGGTTGTGTGTGTGTGTGTGTGTTTTTAAAGGAATCTGACACTTTGTGGCTAAATCCATGAAAAAGAGAAGAATAATACTAGACCATGAGAATATTAATACTACCAATACTTATAATGGCAGCTGGGAACAGAATTAGCTAAACGGCTGGAATCTCAAGATCATTACGACGGATCTGAAACCTTTTAAAGAGTTCATAGTCATTCTCAAGGAGTGGGAGGGAAGGCTTTTCAAATAGAAGAGGAAAACGGTGAGGAAAATTGAGCCAGAAAGTTTGGTAGGCTGTGGGGTTATGTGGAGAGAATTGAGGAACTTGACCAATTTCAGTAATGTATATTTTGGTGTTATTGTTTTAAATGCAGTGCTGGCTGCCCAAAGCCATCAGACCTTGACGACAATGTTTTCTACAACAACTGTTTTACAATTCCACTCGGCTGTTGCTTCGGAAGGGCTTGCAGCCTGCTGGCCCCCACCTTCAAAACCAGCCCCCTCCACATCTTCAAGGGTGAGAAGTTTTAATATCTTAGGCCAAGGAAGTCTTAAACCGCATCATTCTATTTGTCTCAACCACCCCCCACCCCCACCCCCGACCGCCCCACAATCCACCTCCACCCCGAAATACAGCCACGCTAAGAGCTTTTTTCCCTGCACTTTAAACGCCGTTTGCTTCCTCTGGAAAGCTATTTGAGACTTTATAGCCTCTATTTGTGTTATCTGCATAGGTCTTTTTAAAACAGTTTGATAGAAATCGTTCAGTTTTATGATATCCAACGAAAATTCCACATAATATTTATAAGCAAAGAATAAAACTTTAGCATGGGAACCAATACTTCCTCATTTATAGGTGATGAAATTAAAGACCAATGCAGTTTGGCATTATATGGCTTTTTTCCCGTTCTCTCCCTCCACCCCCACCCACCCCTCCCCCACCCTTCCCTTCTTTATTTTTTTGCAGATCATGTGGCTGACTCAATATTTTTAGGCTCTGAAGCCCTACACGTCTTCATATGTGCATTTTGTGGCGGGGGGAGAGAGACCAGCATTTGACCCCGTTTCCTTCCCTGTGAGTGAAAATGAAAATGTGTTTCCAAGTCTTTTATATCCTTATTTACTGCTGTGCATTCTTGCTGTGTGTTATATTCCCCCTTTCTCTCTCACACACACGCATACTAGGAAGCAGGAAGAGGAATTTACAAACCGCACTGTGGTGAAACCTGTCAAATAATTTGATTTTTATCCTCTTCACAGATTCACACACCGCCAAGGAATTTTCAGTGGATGAGATGTTGTACCCATATCTCTGAAGACAAGATAGAGGGCGTTTTAAATGTGTGAAGATGATGAAGATAAAATAAAATGTGGGTGGGTGGGTGTGTATACACACACACAAACATATATATATATATATATATATACATGTGTGTATATACTGGTGGTTTTGACTATCATTGTTTTCACTGAGGATTATTGACATATTCATACATATGTATTTTAAGGAGCGTAGGTGTCTCGGAAGTCATTTTTTAAAATGTAAAGCCATAGAGTTATTTAATTCCAGGCGTCTCTTGTGGGCTTTGACGGTCAAAGTCTTACCCAAAATAAAACAACAGCCAGAGAGAAGGAGCGAGAGATGGTCATAGTAGATGGAGGGACGTGGAGGAGAACCCGTTTCATCACAAACAGCGAAATACATATTTCCTGACATCATTCTAGGTCTTTTGATATCTGGCGGATCTGGCGCTGAAGGAATGCTGGGGAATGTCTCCAGGAGACCGAATATTGTTTAAAGTTAAAAATAATTAGAAGTATGATAAACATGGGTCATTAATGGGAAGAGAAATAAAATCCATCAGCCTAAGTAGAACCCCCGTTGGGAAAAATGCTTTAGTCTAATTGCAGAAAATAAATACCAACAAATGCTATTAAAACTTAAAAAGGAGAAAGCCTGTGTGTGGAATAAAGACCTATAACAGCCTGCTCTGGGTTTTTACACTCCTTTGGAAATCAGGGTGGAAATGAAACATGCAATGCCCCTTATTAAAAAAAAGGAATGGAGGGGGGAAGAGGGTAAGAAAGATTGGGGTGGGTGGGGAAAATTATACATATGTAGACTTTAAGTTGGCTCACATGTAGAGTGGGGTTCGGCAGTGCCTTATTCTCTTGCTTTGTGGCTACTTCGGTATGATTTCGCGGGAGTAAAAGCCAGGAAGTGTTTTTTTTTTAAAAAAGTCAAAGAGGAGTTAAAAAAAATAATTAGGGGATTTCTTCCTTCCTTTCTTCCCAGTGTCTGGACATATGAGGCAAACTGCAGACGGTCCTGCTATTGTCTTTGGTGTCTGATTGCTCTCTCTGTGAATGCCAAAGGCAGACAGTTCAGTTGACCCAAAAGAGGGGGAGAGGAGCCTTGAAACCCGTCTCCCTTTGCTTTCCTAGAGCTTTGCTCTGGGCTGGAGACGGAGGGCACGCGGCTGCGAGGGGTTATGGGGTGGGTGGGAAACACAAACAGGCGCGCACACCGGCGCGCTGCCAGAGCACCACATTTCCCATAAAAATCTAAAGAATTTTTCTCCCCAAAAAAAGCAAGCAAGGAAGAAAAAAGATGCACGTGTCCAATAATTCACGTAAAAGCACATCTCAAACTTGCACATAATATTTTACCTGTTCCCTTTTCCTTCTAATTATTTAACCGTGAGTTATGCGTGGAAAGTGTCTCTTACGTCCATTGTATTTTTTAACCAACTTCCCCCCCTTAACATTTTTATAGCGAGCATTCATTTTCGCTTCTAGGAAGTATTTGGTGGCAACACTTTAATGATTACCTTAAATTTGTATTTTTCCCCCCTGCCTGGTATTATGCCCCGTGTTGTGGAGGAAATAATTCTGATTTATGGCAAAGTACACTAGAGTACAATAACAGTGATGCAAAAATAAAACCCACGCCTTTAGATGTTGGCTTAGAAACTGTAAACTATCACCACCAGAAATCTATCAAACTTTACAATCCCTCTTATACTGCTTCCTTCTTTCGGAGTAACTTAAGTCAAAGAATTATGGAATGATATTATGTTCCTTGAGGTGGTATTGAAAAGTGCTCAAGTTATTTCTACCTCCAACATAGAATCTTCAGTCACCAAAAGACCGGCCTGAGGTTGGCCACCTTTCTTTGTTTTGCATGGTGGAGACCAAAGTTGTCCAGAGTTACTTCGTGGTGTTCACACACACCAGTGACAGTATTCAAGTTGCTGCTCCTATCTCTCTCCCTCTCTCTTTCTACGTGTGTGTGTATACAGTTACACATACCCCCAATGCACACAGAATGCAAAAAGAAAAAAGAAAAAAAAGGAGTTTAAGCAATGTTAAAGATTGCATTGGGAACATCAAAGTCGCTGGGCCGCTGGCCTTATCCGTCAGGCTCTTCTTAACTAAAATCACACACTGAGAAGAGAAGCAATAATGTGAATATATTGCCTACTATTTGTTAGCATCTGATTTTTCCTGATATCGTTCCAATTTCAGCTTGAAGGGTGATGTGAAAAAAGCTTTGAATTTGGGGTGTGGGGATCTGGTCCTGATAGATGAGGGGATATCTATCTTTATACCTATCTGGCTTATGAATACTTTATTATTGCAAACTACTTCGTACAGTTAGCTTGATAAGTTGACAAAGAAGCAGAGAAGGCTGAAGGGGGTCATATCATTCGAAGCTGCGTTTATTAGGAGAGAAACCATCGTACTATGCCTGGTATTTTCGAAGGATTTTCTGACTTAGTTCCTTTATTGGGTTAAAGTGTGGTTCAATGGTTTTCAAAAATACGTGCTCATTTACACCGCTGCTACCTCTTTTTCTAAGAAAAATTTAAAAATACGAATGAAAGAAATAGTATTTTTCCCAGGGAAGAGAACAATGTTATATTCTTAGTGGGGAAGAAAAAAGAAAAACGCGCGGAATGAGAATTTTAGGATACACAGAATTAGTTAATTACCTGTTTTTAAAACAACCCAAAGACAAACTAACGACAAAAGACCTCAGAAACTGCCTTTCCTCCAATGGCAGTATATAACCGGGCAGGCTATCGCATAAGATGTGCAAAAACACATTTCCCGATTATTTCGAAATATGTATTCTTTCCCTAGTTTTGCCCTCGGCTGTTAAAATTTATTAATAGTGATACAGGTGTTGGAATCCTTTCTCCAAAGCGAGAAGCCGTCGGTTCAAATAAAACCTCGGCTATAAGTCCACCTAAAGTCTGTATCCTGCGTCGCTATGTTCCAAAGATCTGTGGCACGACGTGTGGATGCTATTTCATTCAGTTAGTTAACAATTCAGTATAGGCGTTTTCAATAGGAAGCGATAAGTGCTTCAGGGAGTTTAGTTATATATGCAAGCGCCCACACTACCATATCCTTAGTTGTAATGTTGATATCAGCCGCAGCCGCTGCTCATTTTTTAAGGTGCAATTTCTGTGAAAAAAAACTCGATCGGCACAAGGGTATCCAATTATTTTAGCAATCGTTTGAACCGAGACATAAGGTTTACATTAAAAACGTTTGAAAAGAATGGCTGCAGATGGGTCTGTACATGTATTGCTTAGATCGGCTCTTTTAAAATGTTGTCGACTTAATTTTAACCACGTAGAGAAGCATCTTTTTTTGTTCTGCTTTCAGTCCATAAACAACATTGATTGTTCATTTTATTATTTTATTTTTCGCCAGAATAAACATACATATACATTTTTTTTGGTACGGCTCCTATCAACAGCGTGATCAATTTTCATTCGCTGCAGCAGAGATTCGAAAGTCTTCCGAGGCTGCAAGCCACATTCTTGTGGTTTCATGTTGTAATTCGGTGGTTATCAAAAGCAGAGAGACCTGCTTGGGTCTAACATATGTTGAACATCCGTATAGTTTGCAACTTTATTAAAAGAGTATAAACGAGGCCTTAATGAGACGCCATTTTAAGGGTGGTTTTTGTGAAAAATATATAGCAAGAATGATGGTGCATGATATAATGTGAAAGCCTGATCAATTTTGCTCTCAAAGTAAACTTCAGAGTCATATGAGGATTATCTAAATGGGGGGATTGAAAGTATGGAAGGATGTGGGGGGGCTATTTTTGCTGTATTGCTATCAATGCCTTTCCCCACTGCATTCATACACAAATCCATATTGAAAAGAGGGAAAAATAGGCCTTATCATAGTTCACCTCCCCTTTATCCAATTTTGTGCCCATCAGATGTGCAAAGAAAGGCAGGAGACAAAATTAATCGTACATTCAATTATGCTTTTGGAGAGGAGGGGAGGGAGGTTGCTCTTAACGACCCACAAGAGTCTCTCGCCCTAGCAAAATGGGGGATCGCGGGGGCATTTTATTTACAGGCACGCAGGCATGGCTGGTTTTCTTCGTCGGGGGCTCGGAGGTGCCTCCTGCAGAAGTTACTTGCAAGCAGAGCGGCGAAAGTCACCCCCCTCCCCGAATCCACAACCAGGCGAAGAAGACCGGCTCAAGGCGATAGGAGCTTCAAGTCCACTTGCCAAAGCCACTGCCCCCTTTCTCTCCTCGACAGGCTTCTCCAGGGTCCATTGAGGCCAAGTTTCCGAGCCCAAAAGTCCAAACTCTTTGCGGACCTCCAGTGGTGGTGGAAAGCTTTGCCCAGGGCGATTGGTCTGGCGGCTCTTTTGCTGGGTTGCTTAACAGGGTTGCTTTATTTACATGATGCCACCGGCGAGCAGGCTGCACAGTCAAGTTTATGTTTCTCAACTCCAGAACTCAGAGGAGGAGGAGTGTTCTCTGGGCTGCTGGGACCACTTGCCGAGAGGTGCGTGGGTCTGCATGCCCGTGAACTGCCATGTTCAACATACAAGCTGTAGCCTGCACAAACCACGCCAGGCACACGCAGAAATACACCCGGACGCGCACACATCTCCATCTCCCCCAGCTCTAGTGCCCACTGATGGTTGTGGGGGGGGGCAGCTTGCACTTCGCAAACAAACAACAAACAGCAACAATAACAAAACGGGAGGACTTATTTCTTGCACTCCAATTAACATTTAAAAACAGAATAAGTCCTGCCCAGAATCCAATTAAAAAACTCGCCCCTCACCTTCCTCACTCTGAGCTATATCTCCCAACAATGTCACCTCCTAGCAGCTTCCAATACGTTAAGGAGGGATTCCAGGCAGGGGGACAGGAAACAGGTTCGCTTAGCTGTGTGTTTGCACGTCACACCGAGAGGTCCTTCGCAATTAGCCTGTGTGCCATTAACGTGGCTTTACACCGAGATCCCCAGCCTATGAGGGAGAGGACCTTATCCTGATGGACCTTCCGAGCGAGAAATAAAGTTGTCTTATGCAAAGCCCCAAATGCGTGCTAGGAATTTAGAGGGAGGAGGAAAAGAAGGAGGGGAGAGAGAGAGGGAGAGAGGAGAGGGGCACTTGTAAAACTTTTATGCCAAACAAAGTTATAAAAACTTTCCATGCGTTAAGATATCAAAAGGTTTATAACAATAATAAAGCTTGAATGTGTGCTGGTGTGTGTGTTTGTGAGGGGGAGCGGGGAGAGAGAGAGAGAATTCTAATATTCTAGCAATATTAAATCGCTGAGCAACTGAGTTAAATATTAAGTACCATAAACACCAGGCTTGGTTCGAAATCGGTATTTGTAATGTGTGGGTCCATATATATTCAAATGGGTGTCGTGTGTGTGTGTGTGTGTGTGTCCCACACCCACAAACCCACACCCACGTATCGCCGCCTGCTGCTGGACTCTTAACTCAGTAGGCGGGAACATTTAAAAAAAAACGAAAAAAGAATCTGAAGGCCTTTCTGATTCCGGTTTATTACAAAAGGGTTAAAGGTGATGGACTTGACTCCATTGAAGTTCAAAGACATCATATATTCACATTTTTTGTTGTTGTTCTTGTAGTCTTCGTCTCTCCCCACCCCCCCAAAACACAATGCAACCAACATAACGCTAGCGTATAAAGTACAGTTGGCTATTAGGCTATATTGCCGCTAGATGCCTCGACTTTGGGGAGGGAAGGGAGGCAGAAGGCTAAAAAAATTACACCCCTGCTCCTAAATGGTACCCCCTCACTCCCCTAGCTAAATAGTCCCCTTCCAAAAGAAAAAGGAAAAACCCCGAAGAACATTAACGGGTTATCCCTACCTCGCACTGCTGCTTAATACCCTTGTAAAGTCCCACATGGTCTATAAACTTGGATTTTACAACTGGCATTCCATTTTAGCTCGAGAAAACTTTGAACTAGGCCTCCAGTTTCATTGTGTCGCAGCCCCAGCCAAAGACGTGGAAAAGGAGGTGGGATGGGGGGGGCGGAGAGGAGAGGAGAGGGGGAAAGTTAGGAGTCAGAGCGTGTGTGTGTGTGTGTGTGTGCGCGCGCGCAAGGGGGGGACTGGAAGAAAGCTAAGCAAAGACACCCTTATTTGTTTACTATTTACTGCGGAAGTCTTTTTCTATGGCCAGACGGTGGTAATTAAGGAAAAATTAAGCTGTTTAGTGCTGCAGTCTTTATTACAATGTCTAGACTAGTCGCCCCCTTTGTCCAGACAACGGCCGCAGTCACGGGGTATTGACTGGACTTTCTGACCTGGCGATGTGCACCTTATTGCACCTACGTTTTAAGTTTCTCCCTAACCTTGGAAAAGTTTAGAAGTCGCCCATTAAAGAGAGGCGGGCGCCTTTCTCCCCCATCAGAAAGATGCGCCATTTTGTTTCCTCTGTATTCCCCGCGTGTGAGTGGGGTGGTTTTGGCTCCACTTTTCTCCTAAGGGCTGTTTCGGACCTTCTTTGGTCCACCTTGGGTTCCAATGCACTTCCCACACCCTTCTGTGCTCTGGGCACCACAAACCAAAGAATCGCCCATGACAAGGACATATTTACAGTAGACCTTGAGTGTCTAATCCAAGGAAGAGCGAGGTTATAGGCCCTGCATCCGTATTCGCCAGACTCTTCAGGGAACAACCGCACCACCACACACACGCACCAGGAGGAAGAAGGGAGAAAAAAACAGATAAATGCAAAAATAAAGCAGTTTCCATCCCGTGTATGTATATGTCTGTATGTCTGTTTATATACAAACACGCACATACCCCTATTATTACACATAATCTTTCCCCCTCATCTCTTCTAATGAGAAACATTCCTGTTAACATAACCCTTTCAGATAGCATCATGGCGAACTGGAAGATGGATCTATCAAGGAAGCTAAAGTTTCTTTTCTCTCTGCCTCTTTTCTTGCAAACGAAGCACATTTTTGTGGGTTTCCCCATCGCTGACAAATCAAACCGAAAAGGCAACATCAAAGTATTTGCGTTGCAAATGGTTGCATTTAGAAGCAACCCGTGAGGAATTCACATTGCCTGTGAAGGAGAATATAATTTTGTTACAGCTTGCCCTTTAAGCTAGAGACACCTTCAGACACCAAATGTGAGTAACACGAGGATTCGTCAAGAATCAATTGGTAGATTTAGAGTAGGAGACAGACTGACCATTCAGAATTGTTATATTCTCCACCACCACACAAAATTTTAAAAATACATTCAACTAGTGAAAGCGTCTTCCTGCGCATTCCCTTATCACTGTGAAGAAAATTACATTTATTTAACGGAGGGAGGAGTTGTAAACGTAAAATTGCGCTTCTGTCCCTGTGTCTGTGAGTTGAACTTGTTTTTGTTTAAGAGAAGGAATTAAGTACTTGACTTTGCATTTGTGCATTGCAAGAGGCAAAAGGGGAGGGGGAGGTACTTTATCCTTGACATTACGAAAATTTCCGCTTCTTTTGTGTTTGCAATCAGAGATGCGCTCATTAGCAGACAGCACATTAGTTGTGCTTTTTAAAAAGGGGAAAAAGCACGTTGCAATATTGCTCATTAAGCACCAATTTCAGCATATTGCAATATATTTCTCTTCCAGGGTGGGGTGGGGGAAAAGGGAAAAGAAATAAAAAGATTAACTACATTGGGAAAACAGACAAAGACATCTGGAGCCAAGCACAGGGCTGTATTATTGGGCCAAGAAATTCCTATAAATTTGAATGCAATGATGAAAACAATGAACTCCACAACAAATGTCTAGTTAAACGCAGAAGGTTCATATTAATTTGGCTATATCATATCGCATACGTATGTGTGCGTATATATATATATACGTGTGTGTGTGTGTGTGTATGCATGCGTAGGTACACACACACACAATTTAACCATTTGGCCATAGGAAAGTCCATGCCACGTTGACCGCAATGAGTCTTTTAAGAGGGAAATACTAATAAAATGGTCAAATAAAATCATAATGTAGAACAGCTTGAAATGTCTTTATTTGCCACAGAATTTCACAGAGTTTCCCGGGATTCACTTCTTTACATACACAAAGATTTATTTATAATTGTGGTTGTTACTGTTGTTCTTGTTCTTGCTGCTGCAGTTTGGTCTCCCACGTCCAGGAAAGAAAGGGAAAAAAGCATTTACATACCATTTAAGAGACAGTTATTGCGAATTTATTGTAGTCCATTCCCCATTCCTCCCCCCCCCCGCCCATCCCCCACCCCTACCCTCTCTCCAGATGCAAAGAGGGGAAGAAAGAAAGAAAGAAAAAAATCAAACCTGGGACTGCATAGAATATGAATATATAAAAGATACATGAGGGAATCAATGGAAATCACATCCTTATAGTGATACCAATTCTTGGACAGGTTATTTAAATTAGATTTCAATGAACAACAGTCCTTGGCATGTACAGCAGTGGAACCCTGATGGAGTGGAGTGCGTGTGCACGGATGAACACGTGTGGGTAGATACACACACACACATCTGCACGCACACTCAGACAAAGCCCTCCTCCCAACCGAAGACAGGGAGTCTTTGGGAGGTGCTTTTGCGTAGATGCATCATCAACTTGCATATCAAAATAAGGAGAAGTAGGTGCATACTGTCGTGAACACAGCACTGTAGTTTCCTCCAGCGAACATAGATGATGATGATGATGATGAAGATGAACTGAACAAAACAAAACAAAACACCGATGATAAAAATAATTCCATTTCTTCAAGACTAAACGTTAAATTAAAAGTTCATACAGTATTCAAGTCCTTTCAACGTTTAGGTAATCGGGAAAAGTGTATAAACCCTGAACCAGGTCCCAAACATACAAATATAAGGAAGGACGGAGAAGGTTGAAAACTCTGAGGGTTGCTTGAAGACTCCACAGTCAAACCGTGCTTGCAACTTCCCTTCTTCATACACAGAATACTTCAACGAGCAGAGGATGTATTTTTTATTTTTTTATTTATATATATATAGATATGTATATATAATATACAAAAGAGGTTCACAATAAGGGATTTCCAGAGAAATACTGCAGGCGGTCTCTGCTTAGTTTTTTTTCTTTCATCCTTCTGTTCTGAAACCAAATTTTAACTTGTCGATCAGTGAGATTCAACATTCTGGACAGCTGCAGCCTTTTTTCTTTGTTTATGTAGACATTGAAGAAAAATTCTCTCTCTAGCTCTCTGATTTGGAATTTCGAATAGGGACATCGCTTCTTTCTTGTGCGGGGGGCACCTTTAGGGGGGAGGGAGGGAGAAAAATATAACCAGGAGGGAGTGAAAATAACTAAGCAAATGACACAACAGAGCCCCAATAACCCCCCCATCACCAAGAGCTCAAATGCATAGCTTCTCTCTCACACGCACACCCATCTGGAAGCGCATCCTACGGCCATGTGTAACATCCTAACAGACATGTGTACCACAACACAGCCATGAAGACAGCCTTTCCTGTTTCCAGCCCATGATCATTTTCCCCTGTTTTGGGGGGCTTTTCCAAAGGGATTCCTGAGTGCAATAATCAACAATAACTGCTGGGGGGAAGGAAGCCGGCGAAGCAGCTGGGAAGCATACACGTTCAAACTGCAAATCTGCCGCCTTTCTTACAGAGTCAGCAGGAGCAACGTTAGAACTATGAGGGCTCAGAATTCTGCTCTGCATAAGTTTCTGATTATCGGGAACGCCACCCTCCAAATACATTCAGCACACACATACACACAGAGAGAGAATCAAAGCAACATATCTGAGCAGTCAAAAAAAGGGAAGCAATGTGTTTCCCACGGCAGCAAACAGAATTGCAAATACAACGTGTGCGCGCCTGTGTGTGTGGGTGTGTGGGTGGGTGTGTAAGTTCATGCAGGACTTAGCGTTCCATTCACCTATGAATGAAAAAAATAAATAAACATCCATGATGCATTTACTTGATCAGTTGCTTCGATTTAAGGTTGCTTTAAAAATGAAAATAAACCCACTTATATATGAATATCTAAAGGCATCTGAGTATATTAAAATATACTTAAAATGTGTGTGTGTGTGTGTGTGTGTGATAAACACATTTAATAGCAAAATAAGCACTGTCTATTTGAAAAGAAATCACCCAAAGAACTACGCCTAAGCAATGCAATTTGCAGGAAGAAAAGCAACAACAAGAGCAAGAACAACAACACAGAATGCACTGAGGACATGAAAACGTTGCATTCCCTCTCCCCACATTCATAGCAATATAGATATATATTTGAATTTCTGCATGCATTTTCAATAAGGGGAAAAATAACACCACCCGCCCCCCCCCCCCGCTCGCTCGCGTGCATCTCTCAGTGCCTCCTCGCGAGGACAGGAAGCAAGAGCAGTGTTCTGCCCAATTGCCTTTTACCCTCAGAAGCCCGGGACCAAATCCTTTTAAAATGCTCATGTAAGTTCATGATCAAAGTTAATATTTGTCACCATGGTGTGCTTTTAAAATTTCACAGACTCTGAGATACTGTGTCTGCGCCTAACATCTCCATTTTTCTCAAAGAGCCTTTCCCATCGTAAAAATTCTTCTCGTTGCAAGAAAGAGCTTTGTAGGTTATAATAAAATCCTTTGAATGCTTATAAAACTCCACATAAAATTTGACCGACAAAACAGCGGGCTAGTCCCTTAACCTTTCCATTTACTGCTTTCTCTACCTACTCGAGTTGCTGGTTTTGCTCCCTTCCTTGTTGACAGAGGAGGATGAAGCTGAAGAGCCCGGGTTGGTGTTTTCTTCCTCGTCTTCCGGGTCTACGCCTTGGTCGCCGCGGGATGACAGCGCTGTGGGCTGGGAGTCGGTCTCCAGCTTGCTCTCGGTCTTCTGCAAACAGGTCTCGGGCGGGTTCTCGGTGGAGCAGTAGGCGTTTTCGAAGAACCGGTCGAAGCCTTGCGGGAGGACACTGTTTTTGTTCATGCTGGAGTAGAAGCCCGTGGACGCCGGGTGGTTGGAGCTGGGGTGGTGGTGGTGGCTGTACACGCTTTCGTTTTTCATTAGCATTTCGGTCATGGTGGAAGGCGGGAGGCAATCCCTGTGCATCAGATCTTCCGCGGAATAACACGAGGCGTAATTGCTTCTATGGTGCCATTTATTCGAGGGGTCTAGCCCGTAGGAGACCTCTCGCACTGGCTGCACTTGAGAGAGGTTAGTGGAATAAGGGTAGGAGATTTGGCGAGAGGGGGCCTGTGGCAAGAAAGATGACACAGTTGAAAATTCTGGGACGTAATAGGTGCAGCTGGGGAGGTAGAGATTGGAAGCGCAACCTGCTCGCTCTCCAAAGTCAGCACTCCGCTCTTTGCGCGACTGGGAACAGAAGTTTCCTAGGTTCACTGAGTTAAACATCTTTCTCCTTTTCTTGCTCCTATAGATAGATGTTTTGGATCCGATGTGCAGAGGGGGAAAAATTTGGGAAGGCGAGATGACGCGCTATCCGTCTTAGTCGCTCTCTCCAGGACACGTGATCCAAAGTAGATATTGTCATATATCAGTTTGGAGCACTTAGAAGCGTAGGAGTGGTTCACTTAGGTAAGATCTCAGAGGTTCAAACGATTGGTTTTCAAACACCGCAGAAACATTATGAAAATCAATCGCAGATTTGTATTCATTTTCTTCCAGGCACACCCCTTGTAAGCATTCAAAGCAGATAGCGAGGGGATGGCTGGTGAAGTTCTCTCTCTCTCTCTCTCTCTCTCTCTCTCTCTCTCTCTCTCTCTCTCTCTCTCTCCTATTTGGATTTTGCTTTCAGTTGTTCAGGAGGATTCAGATATGGGGTTGGGTGGGGGTAGCTCAGGGGTGGAGGAGGCGAGGGAGGGTCTAAAGGATGTGTTAACTGTAATTTTTCCTCTCTTACTTTTTTTTTAGGGGGTTCTTTCCATGCAAGTCACATTTTAGGCATGATCAGACATATTCTTTTATTTCCCTTTTTCTTCTTCTCTTCTCTGTCTTTTTTCTTTTCTTTTCTTAAAAATGTGGATTCAACTGTTAGAAGCCCAGGGGACTGGATAAAGATTCTTCAGTAAGTTTTCAAACATTTCTCAAGATCTTGCTCCAGGAGTCCGGGGCACATCCCAATATAGTGGGTGTGGGTGGGATCTTTGGAACAGATAGGTATATAGGGGAGCAACTGGCAAGTTTCTCACGTTTATTAATTACTTAGATGCCTATGTATGGATCTCATGTATGCATAAGGACACCTAATCTGCCAAAGAGAATGCACACCTCCAGAAGCATATCCCAAATATGCGAGGAGCCGAACAAACTTTGAAACTTTTCTAGGGATTTAAGCCCGAACCTGAACCCTCTGAGGCATGGGCTTAATGACTTCAGAGTATTGGAATTAGGGAGGATACATCAGGACATAGGACTAATAAATATTCGAAAGCCCCCTTTAACGTTTGGTTAAATATTTATTATGTAAGAGTGGTATATTGAATATTTAATGCAGCTGTTTATTGTCAATCAATGTATGTTCACGGTGCCTTGCGACCTTTATTCTGCCAGCGAAAGAAAAGGCAGGGGGGTGCGCTGAAAAAAAAAAAAAGGATTCTTATTAAAGTCATTTGTCCTTGTATTTGGTCTCTTGGAGTCTCTCACCGCCCCCCCCCCCGCAATTCCCTCAGATTTTTAAAGCTGGAAGAAGGAATATTTGTAAAAGGTGTCTTGTAGAACATTCCTCCTGACTTTCAGACAATTGTTAACCTAAAGTGTCTTCTTTCAGTCATGATCCAGAAAGCCATGCTATAAAGGCGTTTAGAGAATATTGACAGTTGATAGAGGCTGCTGGCATATCCAGTAAAGTCCCCCAAACAAAAGGATGCGTGCTTAAAACTCTCCTGTCTTTCAGATGATCACACATCACACAGGCTCGTCAAACAGATTTTGCGCCTGAATTGACAACTTTTTCATTTTTTTAATTTTTTTTTAAAAAAGGTCCTGTAATTGATCTGCAAATAAATAAAAAAAAATGTTTAGTTTCCACCTGATGCAAAATATCTCCAATATTCTGTTGTCTTTTTGCTCTCATCTCTGCCTTTATTTCTGTTTTTAATTCACTTTGCTCTCTTCAAAGAAGTGTGTGTGTGTGCGTGCGTGTGTGTAGGACCCAACAACTTTGCTTTGTTTACATAGAATCCTCCCGCCTTAATCTCCATCGCTGGCTCCAGTTTTGGACAGTTTAAAAGCCTCATAACAAAATTCACACAGCATCAGGAGGGCAAAATGACTTTACTAGTGATATCCTGTCAATTCGTGTTGCAGTAAATTAAACTCTCAGGAACAAATAACAAAGTCCAGGAACATGGCGGGCTGGTATATAAGGATATGTGGGAACTGAGGGGTTGTTGTTTTTTAACGTTATGGTTTTTGTGGTTGTGAAGCTTTTCCTTTGGGTAAGCCTTGAACAAATCCTTAAGAAGAAGAAAAATCTAGCAACTTGTGATACAGAAGGAGACGCTCTGCGATGACCTCATTTGCCCCATAATTCATTTTAATTTGGGAGGCTCTTTTTACTTTTAAAACCACCAGGTAGAGTTTAGTCAGCAGGTAGAACAGATACCTAAGCAGTCTGCAGCGACGAAGACGCCCCAGGAAAGGAAGGGACATCTGCTGAAACCAAAAAGGGAGGATGAGATTAATGAACAGAATGACTGAAACGAAAAATGATTTTTGGTCACGGGGAGGAAACTGACTATATCGGACAGGAGATCAAAATCTTTAAAGGTCGTGTGTGACTCGGGACTGAAGCAAAGCCTTAAAAACCACAGTGGGAATTTTATAGGGTGGGTTTCTTTCGAATCCAGAGTCTTTATTAAGTGATCCTACAGACAAAACCTAAAGAAAACATGGCGGCTCTCTCTCTCTCTTTCTCGTGAAGCCCTCTGATCAACCTGTCCTTTTAATTTCATACGCCTACGGGCGACGTTCTTCACTTTCGACTGTTCTGCGTCTTTGGACTAGGATGCCTCCCCCGCAGAGGGTTCAGATAAACGCGCCTCCAGGTTCCAAACCATTCTGAGCCTCCTCACCAAATACACACCTCTGCGCATGGGGAAGAAGAGATGGGTGTGTGTTTTGTGGGGGAGAGGGGGGACAGGAGTAGTGCAAGGCTTCTGCAGGCATGGTCTGTTTTGGCTTTCTCCTTCGCTCTGCCGTTTATGAGTTAGATGCTGCTTTAGACACAAACTTTTAATTAAAGTGTCAGGGAGCCTTTAACTACCCCTTTTTACGCAGCAATATTCATGCTAACTACAAACTAATAAAAATATTGTTTACGGGGATCATAATTTTTCTGCACTCCTTCTTACCAAACCCTATTTATTGAACCTGCCCGAGGTGGGGTGGGGAAACTGAATAAATTTGCAGTGCTGGGTGCTGTTTGGGAATGGTTCTGTAACATCTCTTGCAAAGTGAGTTGCCCCAGCCCATTCCCCCCACCTCTTCTTCTTTATTCCTTCTTTCCACTTTTCCTAGTGGGGCAGAAATTTCTCCTGTGTCTCATCCGGCTGCATTGGTGGCGAGCAGAAGGGGTCTAAAGCGGGTGGCTGTTGAAAGCATGTGGGGTATAACACACAGGATATCTCCTCTAGGTGTGCGAATAATTTATTGCTCTTAATAGGTAGATATAAGCTCAAGCGAGCCCCAGTGCCGTTGTGTTTTTTAAAGCCCGGTTTAAAGTATAGGATTTGTCGGCTTCCTGAGAAGAAGCACAGAAAAGACAGCTGTGGAGCCACAGCACTTGAATTTGAACCACCAAAGTCAATTCCCTGACTACCATAAAACAGAAGAATGAAGGCTGGAAGTCTCACATTCCTTTTGGTCTCCACTAAATATATATATATATAAAACAACACAAAAAACCCAACAGCCCATTGAGCATCAACCGTAGAGTTCTTTGAGTGCTTTACTCGTTGACAGATTTCATATTCACAGCCAAGAAATACTTTTTTAAAACTTTTTTTAAAAAAAAATTAGTTGTCTAAAAACCCTCTTTAATATATACGGGAGAGAAAGAAGAAGTAAGAAAAGGAAAAAACCTTTCGAAGTAGGTGCGTTATGACAGCGTCTCCCCAAGTTGTGTGATGGTGTGACTCACTATGAAGATTCATAAGAAAGAGCAGAGCAGGCAGAGAGAACAGGATTGTGTCAATTGCCAGGCAGAGCTTCCTAGGTGTAATTAGACATATGTATATGTTCACCCGGCTGGTTGTTTGTGGCTCGCCAAGTGTACTTCAACATGGCATTGCTGTGTTAATCAGGCAATACATTCCCTTCTTCTGTTGCCGGGTCATTTGCCCGACAGAACCAAGATCACACTATAAACACATTCCAGTATTTTGTTATTGTTATTATTATCTAGGCAGAAAATTGTATCCACGTGGACAAGACTTTCTAGGAAACGTACTTTTCTGTGGGTAAAATGAACTTTGAAAGAACCCAGCTCCGATTATAGCTGTGGCGGGTTTGGCCAAAGAAATGTTCCCATCGTGGTCAGGACTCCGGTCTCTGGGTTTGTTTGTGTACATTAAGCGAATCAAGACTGAACGATACACGATGGCCAAAGCGGGTTTGGGAATAACTAACAAACATTTGCCAACTAGTCAATGGACGGCAAAGATTTGTAGGTGTGGTCGAAACCAGCCTTGGATCTCATATAAACTAGTTTCTTCGTCCTCTTAGCAGTTTGGGAGATAAATTAACATATGTAAATCAGTGCAACTTTCGATTAACTTCATGGTCCACACCGATTAATGCTTTCATTCAGAGATCGTCATACGGGTCTCTCTTTTAGAAATGTGCAGACTATGACACAAAGACTACCTTCTAGAATATGCATAAATGTAGATATTCTAATCTAAATCTCTATTTTCCCATCTCCCAGCATCTCAATCATAGGCACATGTACTACCCAACCCTAAAGCTTTTCCTAGGGAGAAATGGGGTCACGAAAATGTTGTTTACCTCTTGCCTTTTGGCCTTTTCTTGGCGGATTTCCCCCGAATTTCAGAATGAAGCGGACGCCCCTAAGGTATTTCTACGGCCTACAATAAGATAGGTTCTCTATACAGGGGATGAAGGGTTACTTTTGTGAGGTTTGGGGATGGGAAGCCACCCAAACATTTCAAGCAGCCGTTTTCGCATGCCTTCTATGGGCCAAAGAATCCCAAACTTTTGACGCTTTAGGATTGTGACCTGTGAGTCTTCAGCGATGCAGCTCACTGGAAGCAACTGAGTCCCACTGAATCCTATGCAAGTGACTTACAAGTCAATGTGTTTGGGATCGCAGCCTAGGAATGATTTTTTCCCCGTGCAACAGCAATGCAATTACTTCCCAAGGAAAAATAAAATACCCCGATGTATTTAAATCAAGCCAAAGGGTACTACAAACCTTCGCCAGCAAGCAGATTATCCTCGACTGCTTGTGTGTTCAGGAAATCCGGGGCCAGAGACAATAGCTACAAGTAGGAAGCTCTTGGAAAATATTATTGTCCCCCAATGGCAAAGATAAATTTAATTGGATATAAGCCAGCCTACTAAAGACGACTTCATAAGCTGCTAACGATTCAAAGCGGGGAAGCGGGGAGGGGGAGAATGTTTCAGATCTTCCACAGGCCAGGGTTGCAAGTTCAAAATCATGTGGACCCAATAAAGATAAAAGCTGATAAGCGGTATGCATTCCAGCCACACGCAAAGTCAACAGTGAGCAGTATAGCTGCGCTGAGGGATGCCCTGACTAGATGCCCCACGCAGAATTCTCCTCTGCGCATTATTGGGGTAATATAAACCATCATAATTGGGAGGATTGCAAATGATACTTGGCATATTGCAATGAATAATAAAGTCCAGTGATTGCTCAGTAGGGTCTGATCCTAGGCACACAAGCAAGTTCGATTGAAGCCCATTGTCTACAGAGGGTTGCTTGGCTTTACTCCCAAGAAAAACGTGCATTGGGTTGCAGCCATATCAATATATATGTAAGGATCGTTAGGTCAGTTCCACTAGTTAGCAAGCTAGAAGCGAATAAAAGGAACTCTTACGCCAACATATTTGGCCGACCCTTCCAGTCCAGACACACTTGGAATATATACGCTACAAAGCCAAGTTCATTGGAGTTTGCCAATGGCTTATTCCGCTTTCCAAATGAAAGGGGACCTAGTAATTCACCCAAGAAGCCAATTTTCGGTGTGTTTCAGGTTCCTTTCAAAAAGAATAGCTGCACTGGATTGTGTTCAAAAGAAAGTGGGCCATTGACCAACATAATACACAAACGTTTTAAAAGCACCCAACGTTTTAAATAATAAAATTCTACAACACGCAGAGAGTGAATAGACATGCATAGATTTTTTTAAAAATGCTTTATTGTCTGGATGAGGTTCTCGGGATGTGGATCATCAAATCCCATCTAAGGAATTTTTGTTTCACGTGAGAGTTCAGTTTTATTAGCAAATATCTCCGTATGCACGATATAAGCTTTATTGTAACGGGATAGCTTCTTATTAGATTGTGTGAAGGAAGATATAGCAGCCACTGTGAGTGAGATTTGAAACGTTCTGCTTTTGGTTGTGTGTATGAGCTGGATGTTTTTTAGCTTTTTAGTCTACCTTGATACCTACATTTCTTTCATTTCAGCCAGCAGGCTGCCTTGTTCCCATCAGACACACCGTGATCAAAGTGAAATCTCAACGTTTTTACAGGGGGGAAAGAAACTTCAATAGCTTACCCACCCGCTCCCCGATGTAAGTCAGTAGTGCTGGAATCAACCCCAGTATCCACATTTATCAGAATAAAATGAAACAGAATGCCTGGGATAGTTGTGTGGTGACATTCTGCAAACATAGAAACCAGCAATAAGGAATGCTCATTACTTCAGAGCGCCTTTTGGCAATGCTATGAAATATCAGCCTCTTTGTTTGCATGGGGACGTGTGCGCGTGCGCAAGGCACTCTCTCTCTCTCTCTCTCTCTCTCTCTCTCTCTCTCTCTCTCTCTCTCTCGTGAAATCTATGTGTCCCTCAATATATGCATATGAGAACAGTTGAAAGTAACTTGATAGCCCACAAGCGCATCTACAGACATCAATTGTTGGAAATTCGCATGAAATGCAACTACAAACGCATGACTCTATATGTGCTTTTTGTTTTGTTTTGAAATCTCGTGAATTATTATGTCTCATGGTTTCAAGAAATTAGCGGTAGATGAGTTATTTTCAGTGGAGTACAAGATCTAAATGATCCAGTCAAGATCCAGATCCTGTCCTTTAACAATAAAGTTGCGGGGGGGGGGGAGGAGGGAGTGTGCAAAAATGCGTTTAACTTTCAGTCTTGTGCATTCCCTTGGAAACCCTTCTTGAAATCTCAAATTATATTTCTAAAATGAGGTACTTAGTTAAAAAAAATTACTCGGAACAAAACCCAAATGCTGTATTTCTCTGTATGCCATTCCACTTATGAAGTCGGATAGTTATTGTGGTCACGATCCGGCCACAGTTAAATCCCACCAATGTCACTGAGGAACATACTTTATTCACACACACACCCTGAAATTAATTTAAAAGTGACCGTCTTTGGCTGGATTTTAAACCATTTACTTGTATTACGGCTGTGCCCCTCCCCATTTATAAACCCTCTTTTTATTAAATATCAGACGCTTCCTTCCTTCCTTCCTTCCTTCCTTCCTTCCTTCCTTCCTTCCTTTCTTTCTCTCTCTCTCTCGTCTCTCCCCCGCCCTCTCTCTTTATACATATATACATACAGAGTGACTTACGAAACAGAAATTTAAAATATCTGTTTTCTTAGTAACTTTATATCGCTTTAGTTATTGCCTTCATCCTACTAGTATTCAGAACCAGCTTGTCTGAAGTGCTGTTTGATGCTTCTATTCTCTCCCTCACGCGCACATTCCATCATTCTGCTTTCTTTATCAGACATACTCCCTTTGGGACTTCTTCAAATCTGCTATTCTGTGCCTGCATATAAAAGGATATTTTTTTTACAGTAAGGAGTTTAGGAACTCACATGGTCGCATTGTCCATTTCAGTAAGCGAGAGGGGTGGCTGTAGGGAGACCAAATCCAAAATTGTGCGGCCACTGCACGCTGGAAAGGATGCAGATTTGTTTGGCTTTGTTCTTAAAATACCTTTAAATGCTAGCAGCGCGATACTAAATATTTTAAACTCGGAGTTCCCGTTGACTTCAAGGATGTGCACATAAGGATGTCTCCTCATAGTGACTCGCATCGTGGGTAACGTTGCAAGTAGTCTGCTGTTTAAAACAAAAATAAAGCAACGCTAATTGATAATGTGGGACTGAAAGGAAAGGACAAGTATATTCCGTGTTGATTTTAAAAAAAACAACAAACAGAGGTCGTCTTTTTTTGAGGTGGAGTTTTGCTTCCCAATTTCCTCTGCCATGCAGGGCAAACGAATGAAAAGAAAGCTCTCCCGTGCCTTCTGCGCCACGCAGAAATCCCAAAACAAACAAATAAACAGGACTGGAAGTTCAAAACGGGGAAGAACTGCAGATAGCGCTGCAAACGCACATCTGGCATTAGTCTAGGAAGAGCCACACAAGCGCGCGCGCGCACCCTGTGTAGATTAAGCGGCTTTGGAAACTGTCACTGGGAAATCTGTTCATTTTCTCTAATGGACTAGGAGAAGGATTGTTGTTATATTCCTCGCCCATCCCACAACAATATCCTTGCTAAACAGCACGCACGAACGCCGGGTGTCAAGACAATATAAATGATTGGGTTTGGGGTTTTTTTTGTTCAGAGGCGTTGCGGCACTGCCGCCTCAGCTAAGTAACAACTGTATCCGCTACCACTATGGAGGAGGGCCATAGATCCAGGCGAAATTTATAGCGGCCCCGGCGTTGCGGTTATGATCTTGCTATGATATTATTTGGGAACAAAGTCCCATTGAGTCCCTTGGAAATCTACTCTCTTGCAAGGGCGTGGGGTTTTTTTGTTTGGTTTGCAGCTTTCCCTCCCTTGCCCCCACCGTCCCCACCGCACTCCCACGTCGCTGCCAATACGAGAAGAAAATGGGAAGCGGGGGGGGGGGGAGCTACTTGGATAGCCTAAAATTATGGGTTGACCTCGATCGAGATTTAATTCTCATGATCCCCTCCACCATCTTGCGGTAGTAAGGAAGCGAACCTGCTCGTCTCCTCCGTCTCAGCCAAAACAAGGACTCCAGCCATTTTTCATATGTTTCCTTCGAGAGGAAAACTTATCTTTTACCATAATGAGAACAGCTTTGCCACTGAGAGGGAGGGGCGCTTTCTTTTGGGGGGTGGGTGGGAAATAAATAAATAAATAAATAAAGCCTCTTTATTCACCCACTAGCCACCCACTTTCGCCTCTCTCTCTCTCTTTAAATTTCCTCCCTTTCCCTTCCCTTCCCCTCTCCTCCATCACCCTCCAGCCCCTTTTCCTTGTCGCGATATCACCTTATCGGTTCAATCTATGTAAAGACCACCCACCCACTCCCCTCTTTAACCTCCGAATCCCTGGCAGATCTCCTGTGCGCAATTAGGCCCGTTCTGGGACCTCCGACGGACAACCTGTGATATGAGAATGTCTATAATCCAGCCCTCCACAGTAGACAGGCTGCTCAAGACTTTGCAGGATCTCCCCTCATTTCCGCTCTTATTAATTTCAGGCGCTCTGATCTATCCACCCCATCCCTCCCACCTCCTCCTTTATTTAAAGATTATACGATTAAGACAAGAAAATCTAAACCCTCCTTTCCCTTATCCCCTCCCCCCACCCATTCTCCACCTCTCCTTACCGAGCGAACTTCATTGTTTTCTGGAGGAAACCGTAATGTTGAGACATTAAACCCTAATTGGGCTTTTCTTTATGACGTTTAATTTCCTCCATCGCAGACGTGTTTGCATCTTGCTGAAAGAGGAGTTGTTTGAAGTCTGCAATCCCGGAGGGGGGGGGAGAGGGAGGGGAAAAAAAACTTTCCAAGCAGCAGTCGTCATGCGGACTTCTGGTCTCATTCCCACATAGTCTCACCCTCCACGCACCCCCACAGCCTTCCTCTTGATCGTTGCATTCAGATAGCCCCCCCTCCCTCAAAATAAGAATGGTGATGTAAAAGAGAGGGGGAAATGGGCCGGGGGGGGTGTTTAAAAAGAGAGACAGAGACCCATATGTTTACTTGGGTAAGAAATGCTATGGCCATTTAGCTCTGTTGTGACAAATCCATGAAAATGGAGGACCGCCGTATACCATATAAGGTAGGATGCTAACTTGACCTTCACTTTGTAATGGCGGCCCCCGCCCACCCAGACAGACTGTTGTAAACAGAAGTCATCCGACCAAAAAAAAAAAAAAAAAAAGATTAGCACCGGGCAGACAAGGTCTCGCAGAATTGCTAACACATTTGCTGGTTTTTAAGCTGCGGCAAACGAGGTACAATATTCTCTGAACTACAGTAGGGGACGGAGTGGGGGTGGGGGATGGAGGAGGAGGAGGAAGAAGAGGGGGGGCGGGTCTCATCATTGGCGATCAACAAAGGTCTCCCCAGATCTTTAGTTTGCTGTATTAAAGGGTTGTTAAGAGGTGGTCCTTCAACGCCGGGCTTCGTATAGATTACAGCGTCCGGAGCTGTTGTTGTTGAATGTGGCCTTGAGGTAGTGCGAGGGTGGTTGGGTGACTGGGTGGGGGGTGGCCGGCGCTTCTCTTAATGAATTTATCTGTCCATAGTCTTAAAAAAACAGCAATTCTTCATTATGGTGACGAGGACGGACGATTTACGAATGCACTCTAATTTTAATGCAGGAGGTCATTCAGAAAATCGCCTCTGCTTTTATTTAAATCTATAGAATGTTTTGTTTACGTCAGTCTGAAATGGAAAAAGTGTAAAAAGAAAGCTCGTGTAGCCTCCCTTCTTTCCTTTTTAAGGAAGGCAACGAGAGTCTCCTGACTCGCCATTTCCACAGCAGCTAAATCACAACAGTGGCAAAAAGTTTACCAGAGTGCAGAAAATAGGTTTAGTTTTGCTTTTCGAAATGCTGTGTTTGGGCCCAGGAAAACGCTCGGTCCGTGATTGTCAGTGCGGGGAGTTCAGCCTTGTACGGTGGTGGCGGCTGTTTGCGGGGGGGGGGGGGGAGGCGGAATCGAGACTGTACTTGATCATATAATATAATTTATTTAGCATATCTTTTTCCTTGTCAGTTACCTAGACATAATGGAGCGCTATCGATAGAAGGGTCATAGATCCCGATCCACTGCACGTTTTAGGCGATCGTCTCCATTTAAGTCATTTTATTCTCTTTTAAACCAACCGAGTAATAATGGCTACCAAGTTATTGCACCTTTCACAAACTCAGAACTTTTAAAATCAGCGCCGCATACTTCACTGATGCAGCGCCGCCAGTCGTTTATATAGATGAGTAACTAGGAAAGGCGCGACCAAAGACCAATTAATTTCAATGAGGAAGAATTAAGCACGTGCTTAATCGACAACAAGGGGACTTACAAGCGCTTCACTTTGACTGGATCCTGCCCTTTCAGGAATACAGAGGAGGCAGTAAACTATAGGTATTGTTAGGCTGATACTGTATCTCTACATTCTGACGCAGATAACTGGCATAGCAAGCAGAGCATGTTTGTTTGCTTGTTTGTATGTTTATTTGTGGAGGAACACAACACAATCAGACTCATCATAAGCATGAAAAAGGGTGAACGTGTTCAAGTCTCTGTCGCCAAACACAACCACCTATTGCCAGGTCTTGGCGGGCTAATCGTCGCCTTCATTTCAAAGCTGCCGGCTCCCTTTGATTTTAGCAGCAGCTACTGGGAGGTGTGTTTTGTGGGTGTTTAAAGCCCTTCGTTTGGTGGCCCTACGTGTACCTCTGAGACGGAGTACATGCGTTCTCCTTTGTCATTTACATCCAGGATTTGTTCCTTTGAATATTTATTCCTTTATTCCTATGGCTGCTTTGTATGGCCCCTCACTGCCCCCAAAAGTTGCACTACCACGCAAATGCATGCAGAATGTGCAAATATTTTGCCCCCACTCAGTCAGGAATTCTCGAGGGACACAAGGGGTGTCGGCAGCAGGACTTTGCTGATTGTGCAACCTTTAAAGGACAATTCGGTGGAACTCACTCCTCAACTGCAGTAAATGGCAGCGCTCTCGCAGATTTTGATGGTGAGTCTGGAAGGCGCTCGCTGTTATTAGGACTGCCTCCTACTCCACCCTATTTCATATAATAATAATACTAATGATTCTTTCTTTCTCAAAACCTCACACAGCCTCATAATAGATTAATAGTTCTTCATCACAATGAGATGAATTTTCACATGCCCTTTAATTATCATCTCATCTCCAGCGAACACTGGTTTTGGAGAAGGTAAAGGGGGGTATTGGATACAACTACAAAGATGGTTCCCCCCCCCCCTTGGGAAGATTAATGTTGGCTGTGATTCTTAAAAGATCTTCAGATATAGCTCAGCTGCTTGCATAACAACAATCAACTACCGCAAGGCCTTCATCACATCACTTTATTAAAGGGGGAAAGTATTTTTAGCCTGTCTGTTTCAGACCCAGCCAACCATAAACAAAGATTCTTAAATGCAAATACGGTCTTATTTGGGTTCCAGAAAGGCAAATGAGATTTCTAACTTTTGGGCATGCCATAAAAGGAGAGTTTTTAAAGCCACCTTCACTCTTAATTACGGGAAAGCCCTAGCGTTTCCAAATATAGGAAAAGGACTCAGTCCAAGTTAAGCGTCAACTTGCTTCTGAGTAAAACTGGATAGGATCCGGCTGCAAAATTTATAGCTTTCAAGTGAGAGATATTTAAACACCTGCTTTATAGTTATAGGCAGACACATTTACTTGGGAATAAGTAAATAGGGGTAGGATGAGGGAGCACATCTCTCTGAAATCTATAGAACTCCATAGCCCTTAACTCAAGATAGAATGTGTGCGCATTTCCTTTCAAATTAAGGTTTTTGGGAGTAATAATAGATACACCTTGACATAACCTCATGTTGTTGTTTGTTGGTTGGTTGGTTGGTAAGTGAGTGGTTTTCTTTAATTAATTCATCAACTCTGCTGGTTAACATAATCTCACAGAAACAAAGGCTGGCTGTAAGAAATTCTAAGCAAACTCTTATGGCTCCTGCAAGGAATACAAATGTATCCATCTTTGTATCTTTCCTATCCTTTTCATCTTTATTATCACTCTTGTTAACAACACCAGCGAGGCTTGATACATATATCTCGTTTAAATGCAGTCAACCATGAAGCCACTGCAGTTGGTTGCTACAGACATATTAATTAATTTATTCTCTCAACAGTAAAATATTGCTGTGTCTCCTTGCTACCAACCAAGTCATATAAAAATCAGGGTTTATTTTTTTTACCCCCTCTGCAGTTCATTAGGCTTTACCTATAAGTTTCCATTTGAAATGATTTGCTTTAAAACTAATTACTCGTATTCTATTTCATTTCCCAATCCCGTAGTGTAAGATGGATTCAAAGGTGGCGTGGGTGGCATATGTTGGTAAACATTGCTAATTATTCCCACTCTGTCTTGATTGTGTATTTATGAACCCACCCATATAAAAGGGAGAGAAAATACTCAGTAAAAGGTGCGCTGGCATATTGATGATAATGGCACATGTTACTTAAAAGAGTGTAATGTCGCTAGGGACAGTGTAAGATGATAATGTAGCAGCCGAGATTTTGTTTAGCAGGTTTCCACTTTGAGAATAAAATATTGGACTCACTCACAGCGCATTCCAATACACACCTACTCAGAAGTGAGCCTCACTGAGGTTAGGCAACGTGGTGCCCTCCAGGTGTGGTGGACTGCCAAAGCCTATCAGCCCAAGGCAGCATGCCCAATGGTCAGGGATGATGGGAGTTGGAGTCCAACTTCTGCAGGACGATTCATGGTGTGTATAGGACTGCAGTCTCAGGGTGAGGAAGAAGAGAATGAGGACCAGAATCGCACACTGGGATGACAACAGAAGGCCCAAGCATAAGCTAGCCCTGCACAATGTCTACAGTGCTCCAGGTGTATTCAGAAAAGACTGTTTTTGGGCCATGGCTTCTAGGGAATTTCAGGGACCTCTGTTTGCCTAATCCAGGGGTAGGCAACCTAAGGCCCAGGGGCCAGATGCGGCCCAATCGCCTTCTCAATCTGGCTCGTGGACAGTCCAGGAATCAGTGTGTTTTTACATGAGTAGAATGTGTGCTTTTATTTAAAATGCATCTCTGGGTTATTTGTGGGGCATAGGAATTTGTTCATCCCCCCCCAAAAAAATATAGTCTGGCCCCCCACATGGTCTGAGGGATGGTGGAAAGGTTGCTGACCCCTGGCCCTAATCCCTGAGTAAATGCACTGGCACATAGCTTCAATTGCAATCTCACTTCCAAACAAGTGGGCAGGGTAGACCCCTTGCCAGGGGACCTAGTTGATGGTTACACCTCCTGGGCTGATACACTTCCTTAATCCCAATGGCAAGGATTTGATCCTCTGTTTTTGCATTTGCTGAAGAGAAGTTAAGCCCACATCAGTGCTGTTAAGGTATTTATTTACCCCTCCAGGGATATCTCTTCTGGTGTGGCTGAGGACTAGTATAGAAATAAAATCAGAAATGAGGGGAAAGTAGATGTTGCTTTCATTAAGCAACATCTAAGAGTCCTCTCTGATGTGGTTTTAAGCTCTTCTCATGTGTTAGCCCTCTCAAATGGAAAACAATGGGACTTAAAGTGTGTTTAACTCTGACTGGATAGGATCTATCATTATCATGATGAAAAATCCAAGAAAAGGTAACCACTTTAAAGTCCTGTTGATTACGGTAGGGTAATCAGAGTTAAACACCTGATTAACTCAAAGAGCTTTTAATTTTGAGTAGATAGTACCCGTTTGTGTAACTAACTCTACTACTACCACATTGCACCTATGTGATAGTATACCTAGGGTGCCATTAATATAGGGTGCTATATTAATATTTACATAATATTATGTAAATATTCATTTTTAAGCTTCCCGTTTATAAAGGTTGGAGAGATTAATAATGAGGGCGATAATATTTGCTCCGAAACACGTTTGGTTGTCGATGCCTGGCTCCAATCTTCTGATCGCCCTTTGCTATTCGGTGTCCCGAAAGAAGATGCATTCCTAACAAAGCCTATCCGTTTTCGAAAATAGACACAGTTTGTACGTGGCAAATGGCGCCTAGTGTCATACACGAGCGAATGACCCTAAATAATGGAATTTCATTTTTTTAATGCCCTTCACGAGGAGATTTGTTATGTTATCTTTTTTGCTTTCTCTTCAGTCTGCGGGGTCTTTCCAAAATACCAGAAGAGCATGGGAATGTTTGCAAAACATTTTTGGCTGCAGCCGTTGACGGGATGAAAGCCAAGGCAAGGGAAGAGACAGACAGATAGCTTTGCTGCAGATCCTGCGTGAAGTCCAAGACCAAGGCTTGCTGACCCCCAAGCGAGGGACCATTTGTCAAGAGGGAAGACATCCCGTGCGCCCGGGAAACCGCGAGAAACAGTATTTCAATTGTCTTATATATGCTTCAAAATAGCACCGAATATGAATTCTCAGTAAGTAGATATGTGGCAGTCACTGCAGAGGCTAAGCTTACCGAAATATAAGATAGATACAGGGATTAGAGAGAGAGACAGACAGATGGATAAGATGGACAGACAGAAAGCGGAGGCAGGCCAACCAGTATTCCACATTTGCACATTAGCACGAGACAATGGCGTTTTAATAATTTAAAATAAAATATTTTTTTAATCACTGGCTTGCGCTTTTTAAAAATAAAAATAAAAAAAATCCATGCTAACATTTCCCTACTTGGTAACTTGAAGGAAATGTGTCGGATACTTGTTAGCATTGTTATCCGGATCATAAAAACTGCCTTCTTACTTGGGAACAAGTTCCATTGGAATAACTATGCATAATGCGATATGCTGCTGCTGTTGGTGGTGTAATAAGGAGGAAAAGGACATCCTGTTAAACCAGTCCTGAATGTTGGATGGTAGTTGTGGTGGTGATGCGTGTGGAGCTTACCTGATACTGGCGAGCGAGCAAAACACATCGCTGGGGTTTTCTTGGGACTAGCAAGCATCGCTTCAGATCTATAATATATAATTCCGCTTTGCACCATCTTTCTGCACTGAACAATGACTATTATGTGCATATGTTCAGCCCCAGAGGGTAAATTCTCTACCCCCCCCGATAACACATAAAACATTTGCTCACAACCCTTTCGGTATAGAGAACACCTATAGTAAAATAATAATAATAAGGATAAGGATAAAGTATTACTTGTTTTTGGATCAAGCCTATGCGCTTTTGCATATTTCCCATAATTTTGGAATAATTTGCACTGCTGAAATACAACTTAACTGGGTGTGTGCCTGTCGTTGGGTTTTCCCCCCCTTATTCTCTTGAAGGCAGAATTATTCTTTGCAATTCAGGAGATGGGGATATACTTTCCGCTTCTTAATGAATTCATTTTAAAGCCATAGCTATGAAATACACCCCTATATAAAAAAAGCAGAAGCAGAAGCAGCAAGCAAGCTGAGGAACAATACGCACTTTTACTGCGAGCAACAATTTGTCCTAGCCACTCACTGGTAATAAATAAGTTTTATCTATTTGGGTGAGTGTTTAAGCGTCTTTGGAACCAAGCATTCCCTCTTCAAGGTGAACCGATCCACAATTTTCTACACAATTTATGCCTCTATATACAATCCAGGCTTGTTGGAGATGATCCAGAACCCTATTCACTTCTGTGGAGCCCTTAACAGTCCTCATATGACAGCCAACGTTCCGTGCACACCTCCAGTAAAAGAGGCAGAAATGATATTTTTGGTGGGTACTTCTTTCGAAGAAATGAGAGTGAAAAAAGAAAAGAGAAACCTTGTGAGTGAAATCTATATCCTTTTGAAGCCAAGGGCAAGTCTCCAATTGATTTTAATGGCGGTGAATGACAGCTCTTGAAAGCACGGTGGGGAGTGATTCAGTGAGATGGGGACCCCTAAAGAGATGCACTTGAAAGAAAGTCCTACAGAGATACACCAAGGTCCTCTGCGTCCTTACACAGAGGTAAGCCCTACTTAGTTGAATGCAGGTTACTCCCTAGTAAAGGGTGCATAGAGACGGTATTACTACTACTGCCGCTGCTAGCTCTTTTGAGTTTTCAGAGCACTTAAATCCCCACAACAACCTTGTACGGTAGGTCAGTGTTATTAAAGGTGAGCAGGGTGAGGTTGCCAAGTTCGTAGCTTGCCTAGCGCCTGCTAGGCTGTAACGCTACACAAATTTGCCTGCGAGTTAATTCCACTGAACATAATGGGGCTTACTTCTCAGTAGGCATGTAGATAATTGAACTCTTAAGGACCGCAGGGAGGTTTGTACCAGGGACTAGCCCTCAGCGAAACTTGCTTCCAGATAAGCACCTTAGGCTCGAATTACTGCAAGGAAAAAACCGCACATAAAGTTTTCTGCGCTAGGGGAATCAAGAGTTACCTATCTATACCTCGAGACATCCATAGCCGCCATTATTAGCATTTAAATGAATTTGTGCTGGATTCTTAAGGGGAACAGTGCGAATATTAGAGGAGTCGGTGAATGTTTAAAGGATCAGGGCCCCGTTGTCTTCCAACTTCCCATAGATCTCAATTACTCTTGATGTATCATAGAAATAGTTTCCCTTGAAATGGATATTACATCCTAAAAGCTTCTGGGCTCATATCCAGCCCAGGTACTGAACTATATCGAGTTCCCAATGTAGGATGTTCACCTACAAAGGCACTATAGCCCTATGAACAAAGAAGCAACGTTTTATAACATTCGTGTCATTAAATTTTAACTCATAGCCCGCTGTTATAATTTCTTCCTGGACTTTATGAAGGATTTCCTATTAATTTCGCGCGCAAACACAAACACCCACCCGCTGCTCCACCCAGTATTTTAAATGCGTGCGATGGGGTCAGAGCTGAATTCAATCGGATGCTGTTGCCGACAAATAAGAGGAGGCTGACCAAACCTGGTATGTTCACCTTTTAAATAACATTATGCACACACAATATACAAATCAATGCATCCCCCATGATCCGTCTCTGCTACCGATACGTGTGCGAGTGTCGTTTGGTCACAATTGCAGCTCCTGCACACCACAAGCCAAGCAAGCCTCTCTGGCGCGTCAATATTGTGTATGTTCAGAAGGGGGCGTCGCGGGTTGGGGGGAGGAGAGAGGAGTTAGCAAACTACATCACCGATCTCTAACAATTGCCTTCGCGCAATCTCTTTCTTTCCTTAATGCACCTATACCATAAGAACACAGGACCTCTTTGCAAGGAAGTGCCTTCTTCTAATAACAGGACTAAAGAAAGCGGAGAGAAAAGACTGGCATAAGCTCACACCTATCCTATTCCCACTTATTAAAAGCCGAAGGCGCAAAGGATTCTACATGGGGATGAGCAGTTCTTGATCCGCTTTTTGGAGATGGTCTCTCCCTCCTCCCCTTCACAATCCACTTATTGATCTTTTAAAAGGTTTTTGGCGTGCGTGCGCCTGCCGGTGTGTGTATTAACGCATTGCTCCAGCCGCCACTAAACTTTATGGTTGAACCGAAGACCTGAAAGGTGGATAAAGCCATTACATGTAAATCTTCCTTTCCAGAGGAAGATTCCATCTCTCTCTCTCGCTCTCTCCATACATACGTACATACATACATACATACACCCCCATTCGCAACCACTCATACAACCTACACAATTAATGAAATTTAAATTGACTCTGTGGAATCGCTGCTATAAAGGCACCTGGCTGGATATTCAGAAGAGAGAATAAAACACGAAGCCAACGGGAGGAATTAAATATGGGCTTATTGAAGAAGATCGAATCCAAGGCTCGTGAGGGTTTTTGTGTTTTGTTTTGGAGGTGGGGTATTTGTTTTGTTTTTGTTTATATTACAAGAGTTGCAGGTTTAAATTAAAGTGTCTCTTAATTTTTTTAAAAAAAACATCCATGTCATTTTAAATAAATAAATATCTTCCCCCTTTAATCTAGGGGAACTTTGTCTTGGCCTCAGTTGCTCCAGAAAGGGGACAAAAAGAAATATACTGGTGACATTTCTCTTTCCCAGAGAACAAAATATCAGTAATGATTCCGTTTATAAGCAAGGCCATCAGGAGACCCCCCCCCCAAAAAAACCCCCTTATATTCGCATTAAACGTTAACATCCCAGATTCATTTACTCTCTTATCTTCTTGGATTTTTTTTAAATTATAGGTATCATTGTGCTCCGAGGCATCCCTTACTTTACAACCTATTTTATATATCCACTTAATTATTTTTTTTAGGGAAACATGATCTATATACCTCCAAATGTTTCATTGGCTTATTTCTGTGTGCGCGTTACTCTTTTACTAAGCTTGCTCGGTCCTCCAACAGTCGATAGTAAATCACCAACCAGAGGTTTGAAACATTTTATTTATTATCAGAAATCACATAATAATACATTCAATTTATTATTATTATTATCATTATTATCATTATCATCATTATTATTGTGAAACAACTTTTTACATGACTATATAAAGCCGGGGAAACGTGCTATGGACAGACATTTGCATAGGCCCTACATATAATAGCTTGAGGTAAGAAACATTACATATGGACTATATTGCCAACGATGCATATTTAACAACAGCAGGAAACTAGACTAGAGAATAACAAGCGAAGGACCGAGCCACAGACACCGGGAACTAACACAAGACGAACAGAATTCACACGGAATAATAATACTTCAATGCAATCTGAACGAGAATATTGCATATATTTCAACTTCTTCATTTTCAAATTTTAAATTATCACTCCCCCTCCCTTTAAAAAAATCGTTGAAGTGGCAGCTGAGAATCGCCTGTTATGTGCAGTTACACACCAAGGAGACCATTCTCAGGACTCAAGATTCTTGCTGGTGGGTTGTGTATTGTATTTCTAAGCCTAAAACTCCTTCGCTGTAGATAGAAAGCGGTCTCGGCGCGTGAAATATTAACATCAAGACAGTCTCTCGGTCTCTTTCTCTCTGTCTGTCGCCTGCCACAATTTAATCCGAACGCTGCGTTATAACATTGCCCCGTAAACGCTCAAAACCCTGGTAAGCCAGCCGCCAACCCCTTCCAAAACGCAACCTTTTGCCAGCGAGTAACATGTCACAGCTTTTCAAGAGGAAGCGATGGTAGCAAACCAAGTACAATACTGATATGTCTGATTTCTCGAACATGTTCCTCCTTTACCGCATAGACACAAGACTTCCCTTCTAGATTTATGCAACACACCCCATTACATTTCAGTTGGCTGAAAGTCGTTATTTTGACCGAAAATGCTGCTTCTTTCTTATTAATATTATTGAGAAAACTGGGACAAAATGGATGATGACAGCGCTACCGGCTTAAGCGGTTTCAACGGACTGCTCTGTCCAAAGGAGGCAAAGCACAGGCTGGAGACAACGGGAATGGCGTTAGACTGAAGCCTACAGTTTTCTGTTCTTCAAGGTACCTTTTTGGAGAAATAGGTAGGCGTCCTCTACATTTAGCCGCCTAACAACACAGACACCCACATGTGCTCTGTTCATTGCACATAACTGGGGGGGAAATATATGGATGTCTCTCTCACCCCCCCCAATCTATTGCACATAATTGTGACTGGGTACCTATTAGATTCAAAGCCACTCACAGGCAGAGGATGCCTCTTCTTTTACAAATGTTAGAGTTTGTAAAGGGGAGGGGTGATATACCAAAAGGGTGATACTGGGATGGGGGACCTCTCAAAACTCTAGATATTGGGGAGGCAGGAGGAAGGCGGAATAAAGACAAGGAACGATGACACAGCCATGGGAAGCAGACCTAAATAAAAGGCTTGCAAGGGCGGAGAATGAGCAGGGCGGGGGACACACAGAGGCATTTTAAGGACTAGACGGCATCCTTTGCAGCTCGTAAAGGCAAAGCATTCCTGCCACCGGCCATGACCATGAACGCCGGGACGGGGAGCCACGTGGTGACAATTGAGTCTGGCCCAGGAAAACGTTGCCTTTGTCATAAAATTAATCCCCTCCGATATAAAAACGAATGAAGCAAAGCCTGTCGTAGCAAAACTCGCCGCTTAGACCGTCTTGACCCCCCTCACCCTACTTTGCTGTTGTGGCTCATTTGTCTCTTCGTCCAGTTCCCGGCCGCTCCGCCCCCCCCCCCCCCGCCCCGCGACATTTTTTTTTTTTTTTTTAAGTATGCAATTAGGAAACCAGCAGAACAGAACGAGAATAGGTTCCTGGACCCCGATGGAATAAGTACCAGGAATATCAAGGGAACTTATTCCCAAGTCAATCATTTAACGGGCTGAGAGGGAGAGAGATTCCTGTCGGGTTACTTTCACGGTTGCAGCAACCCTTGTCTTCCGCCTCCCCGCGCGCCTTCCTCCCCGCATTGAGTGGGAATTTAAGGAATGGGAGTTTAAGCAATGCCCAAGCCTGGCAGAGCTATTAGGAAATCTAATGGATGTCTGAGGCAGGAGCTGACCGGCAAGGCAACCCGCTCTGCGCTTCCCCTTGCCTGCTCTGGGACTGTTCTACACCGGGGAAAGTACAAAGGGGAACCGGCGGTGGGGGTGGGAGTTAGACGGATGAATGAATGCGTTGGGCAGAAATTACCGTATATCCCCCAAAGCAGAATGCGTGTGTTTGTGTGGCTGTAGTGGGGGGGGGGGAATAAGGCGACACACCCCATAAATGTTCACAGTCATCAGCTGCTGCCTATGAAAAATCAGGAATGAAAATAAGTGTGTGTGTACGTGTGTGTGAGAGAGAACACACACACAGGCACACAAACACACACGGGAGAGAGAGATAGAAGTCTTGATTCTTAAGGGAGAACTGCCGTTATTAAAAATAAAAATCTAACTAAATATGAGGAAGATTAAAAGAGGGGAGGGGTGGTGGAGGTAGAGGAGAAACATCTCATTCATTTCGAAAATAGCCACCATTAAAGAAAACGTTTTTAATGCCAGAAGAGAACTCTCTATCTTAGAAGGAGGGAAGCTATTAATAGCTTAATTAGCACCAAGGGGCTGCCACTATAGTTAATGTATAAAAGGGGGCATCCCCCCACCGCCCCTCGCCACCATCTTGATCATCAATAAACACAGTAGCATAATAAGCGGGACGAGGTCTCCTTCAGTGGAGCTATTATCAAAACACAATTTGAAATTATTGTTAGCGTTCTGTTCCGCTTATGCGGTGGTGGACAGAGGAGACCCATGCAGGCGGCGCGGCTGGACTAGGAACGCGAGAGGTACCGCGCAATTCTACACAGGTCTACTCTGAAGTAAGCCCCTCTGCTAAATCCCAGCATGCCAAGGAGTATAGGGTTGTAGCTGTAGCCTCTGAAAAGGTTGCATTTTTATAATATCCTAACAAGACAAATCATTCCTCACTTTATGGGGTATTGGATTAACTCGAGGTGGGTTTCTCCCCTCCCCCGCTTTTTTTGGTGTTTTGCAGCCCAATAATAGGCGTTGTTTACTTGAAAGTATTCCCACTAGGTACATTGGGTCTAGGTACAGTGGGCATCCTCAGAAGCGCGCGCGTGGGCACCGCCTGCCATTGGAAAAGCCTTGGGAGTTGATGTCTACAAAATTCCATCCTCAGCTCGACTTTCCCCCAGAAGAGCATCCGAGTAAAGCACCCATATATTTCCCACCCGCCAAGCACGGGGGACAGCCAAGTGAACCTCGAAGTTCCACATATTGGACACCCCTATTATTATCGAGATCGATACGCTGCAAACCTCTATCTAGGTACTGAACTTTTTTCCGCCCAGTGTGCCCTGAAAATAAACCTTGGCAAACATAAAACACTGGCTCGCCATTCTCCATCAGAATGGTTACGGTTGATTTAAGGTGAATGCCACATCCACTTAAGCTTTTACTCCAGAGAATGAAAAATCCCAACACACTAAACCGAGATATATATAGGACAGTGACTTTGCTTCCTGGAATGCTCTCTTGCTGAGGACCGGGTTACCGACCAAACAAAGCCAAGGCCAAGGCAATGGAGACCCTCCCTCACTCTGCCCCACACAAAACAGGGAACCCTGTTGCTGAGAGGGGAAACCCTACCTGTGAATGCTCGCACACGCGTAATAAGAGCGAGAGTGTCGGGCTCAAGACTCACATTCAGAACATACTCAACGACACTGACTGACAAATCTTTGTGAACCATACATTAGAAAAGCCACGCTGATTGATGAAGGGGGGGGGTTTCCTTTCTGCGTATTCACATTTGGTTCTTCCCTAACAGGTCCAGAAGTGGAAGAGAAGCATCCCACCCCCTCATACTCTCTCAATCACACAGTTATAACGTAGACACGCCTGCTGTTGGCTGGCTTTCTTTATCTTTTTTAAGGATACTGACTTTCGTTGGTTTGTTTTGTCTTAAAGGAAAATAATAATAATAATCTAAACTGGCTATTCAAACCAGATCAGGTAAGAGTCCCGATACCACCAGTTGTGATGAAGAAGGCCGGAGAGTCTCTGTGGGGTTTTTTTACCCGATAGCGGACTTGTCTGAACTTTAAAAGAAGGAAAGGGCTTGCTCTCTCAGGAGGAGTCTTTTCTTTTTCATACGCCGGTTCTGGAACCAGATCTTCACCTGCTGGTCACTCAGGTTTAACCGATCTGAAAGCTCCCTCCTTCTTTGGCGAGTAATGAATTCATTGACCATAAACTCCCCTTCCAGCTCCGCTAGCTGTAGCTTAGAATAGGGTTTTCGCTTTTTCCGGGACCTTGTGTGCATCGGGTACCAGGGAGCACCTAAGAACAGCGTGATGGAAAGGAGATTTAAACACATGGAGGGGAAGAGAGAAAGAGAAAGAAAGAAACGAAAAGAAAGAGGGGAGCGGGTAACGCTTTAAAAAAGGGAATGCTTCCCCCCTCCCTTTTTGACCCACACACGGCTCGTTATTTAATAATATGAGATACACGTTTCTAATGCGCAATCCAGTAAAGATGCTTTAACTTCGAGAGAAAGGAGGATGGGTGGGAAGAAGACCTTTACACCTGCGTTTTAAATTCCAAGCTCCTGGGCTCCTGTGTCACCACGCATACCACATAAGTCATACATTGCAGGTTTTCGGAACTATTAGGATTTAAGGAGAGATCGGAGATAAAAGCTGGTTAGGGTTCTCTCTCTCTCTCTCTCTCTCTCTCTCTCACACACACACACACACACACACACCCCGCTGGACTTTTATAACCGGTGGCAACTTTGGCTTATTTATCTTACAGAAAAATAAGCAACCTAAGCTAGCTCTTACAGATCCCGAACAGCCAAAAAGTACCAGCACCATCAGCTAGAATGAATGCTAGAGTGTCTCTGTGGTTACCGTGTAAGACCTCAAGGCACCAGATGGGTTGGCATGCCTTAGGTATCCAGTTTGGGAGATGTCAGATCTGAAGTTTAAGGACGAGGAAGCCTCTGTCTTCAGAGTCCCAAAGCCAGATTCTGCAGAGGGAATGAAACATCTCCAGCAGCCAGGGACGCTTCACAGGAGACGAGAACCAACTGGTCCTTGTTCCTGGAAGTGTTTGCTCACCAGAGGATCAGGCACATAACGGGAAGCTTTATGAGAGAGAGTTTGTTTGGGTTGGGTTTGTTTTTGTTTTTTTGTATTTTGGCAAATGGTGTCTCAGCACTGCGTGGAGATATATACTTTTTCTTTATAGAACCTTCCCGGTTTTGTATGGGGATGGGCTGGGATGGCGGGAAGGCGAGAATTGGGTTTTGAAAACCAGGGTGTTTGTTTCTTTTTTTTAATGGCACCATCCTTAGAATGGGTTTTTACCCAGGGTGGCTAATCTTACCAGGGACAGAAAACCCGTGGAAGTTTAGCCCTCCCAGCCCTGCAGTCAGACTTCTACCAAACCTTCCAAATACAATCACACACCCTTCTACATTTCATTTCTGTTGCAAAAGCTTCATGCACCCAGTGGCAAATTGTCCTGCATGTAGCGTGCCTGTTCGGATTCGGGAGGAGGGTGGGGAGAGAGAGAAAAAGAAAGAGGCATGAAAATCTGTCTATCTGGGCCATCGCGATCTCTTTTATGGGATATTTACATGTTTATAGGCTTTTCTTTTAAAAGAAGCAGCACCTAATAAAGCACGAGGCATTTGAGTGCTACCCCTAGTGGCCTCGGCACAAATAGACATGCTTCAGTCCCAGCTGCTAATTTCATGGAATTTATAACAGCAAGAGTCGCGAGCAGACTTTTTCAAGCAAGAGAGAGCGCGCGCGCGCGTAAGAGAGAGAAATAGAGAGAGAGAGGAGAGAACACAAAATAAGAATAAAATAAAGAAGAGGCATTGCATAAATTCGCTTTTCTTATTCGTATATATATATATATTTCCTGGTCGCACGTTCTTACCCCCAGCGGAAAGATTGCTTCCTTGGTTGATAGGGGAAACCATTGTGGACGGCTCGCTGGTGGCGCCCTTATTGCCTTCATTGAGTAAGGAGGAGCTGGAGTCTGACTCCAAAGACTGACAAGAGGGGGGATCGTGGGGCACCGCCTCGGGAGCCGGATAGTCAAATTTGCCGAAACTGCCGCTCATTCCATTGGGGATCCCCGATTCGAGAGGCATCAAGGCATTGTCCCTAACCCTCTCTTCCCTTTTGAGGGGAGCGTTCTCGGAGCACGCCTCCCTATAGTAGCACTTGCTCTCTTCCACTCTAGCTAGGTCGCAGGCTCGGCTGAAGGAAGGGTTAATAGACACGGGGCTGCTGAGATAGGGCTGGGGGTATCCGTTGCAGGGTTCTGAGGATGCCCAGGGCAGAGAACAGACATTGTCCCTTCTTGGGTAGGAGAGAGACGGCAAGCCGGGCAGCTGTCCTCCGGAGGCTCGGAAATTGGGGAAATAGAAGGTGTCTCCCGTATGGATGTTCACCAACGGTCCCACAAACCCAGGATTAAGGAGATTATGTTCGCCCATTTCCGCGGGCCTGACCAAGAGCTTCTAGTTTATTGCTATCTGACATTAAACATAGTTAAACCTAAAGGTCCACCCTATTGGTCCGCAGGGGTCACGTGGGCGCCAACTTGCGTTGGAGAAAGGGTGCCACCCACCTTTAGCAATTTGAGACAAAACAAAACACTAAGTTCTGCCTTTCGGTTTTTTATATGCTTTTTTAAAAAATCATAAAACATTTTATAAAATAAAACAACGGGCTTTAAGCACTGGCCTGAGAAACCCAAAGCACTGTAAAAAATAAAAAATATTAGTCCCCCCCGCCCACCTTAAAGAAATGACACCCTTCTCCCCCAGCTGCTTTTAGGGTCCCTTCAACAGCTGGCAAAATTAAGCAATTTTCTCATTAATTAGCTCCTTTATTAACTAAAACAGTTGAAATTTACAATATCTCTCAATAAATTACTATTAGATATTGTGTCATATAAAGTTTACAGGCTCTTTAAGGAGACGAATGAGTCTAACCGCAACAGGCTCATATTTACAGATGATAGGGCGAAAGAGTTTTTAAATCTCTTCAACATTTCCACCTTTAACAGGGCGGGGTGCGGGGGGCTTATGCCTCTGCGCCGCCTCCCCCCCCCCCCAATTCTGTTTATTTATTTATTTTTTAAAAGCAATCCAACAGCCTAGTTAGGGTGAATTTGTGTGTGTTTTTTTTCTGGGGGGTGGGTGTGCAAACATTGCCACGGCCAATTTCTGAGGGCTTTAAAAAAGGAATGATCACCCTTATGAAAATTAGATACATTAAAACAAAGGGAACTGGCGGGGGGGGGCGTCGTTTTATCCGCTCCGCTCACCTGAAATAACAGTGAGGAGGACGCGTTAGCGGACCTTCAATTAGTACCCACTCAAAGTGGGACGAATCGGTCCTTTCTAAAGCTCTGAGCTTAGAGGAAGGAGGGAGGGAGGGGACCCCGAAAATAAGAGCTGGTTCTGTCTAGGAGAGAGACTGCTGGGGGCGTCCTCTTCAGAAATCCGATATACTGTGTCAGAGAGATCTCGCTTTGAGAAAGGAACCTTAAAAGGCAATCCCGATTTAGGAATGATCAGAACTAAGCTTCGTGGAGAACAAAGGGGAGAGAGGTTATCTTATGGGAAAGGGGGTATATATATATTTATGGGGACTGCATCCCACGCCTCCACCCCCCCCAAAAAAAGAAGATCGGAGGAATTTTCTCTGCTACCAACTTCCAAGACTACAGAATTCGACGACAAATTACCGTAAATACTCATGTATACGTAAAAACTGATTTGTCGGAGGTCTTGTCGAAGGCACCGAACCCTCGACACCCTACCCCATATAAGCAAACCAACACGAGGAATGGACGGCTACATACCTTTATTTTTATTTTTATTTAAACAATAGCAACCTGCCCCCTATATTGATGCTCAAAACCCCGGTGTTATTGAAATCCCTCGGAATACATTACCCGGGACTTCCTTTACATTAATGGCTACTCCCCCTTCTCCCGACACGCTCCGTACTTTAGCTCTGCCAGCTATGTAGGAAGGGGGGAAATCACGTGTTAATCAAATAAACACTTTTCTTTCCTAGTTCTATTAAAGGGCCAGCTCCCTAATACCCCAAATTTCCCTTCCAACATGCTCCTCATACACCTAGGTGTAAGTGGGCATCTTTTCGGGCAGATACGTACCTTAATGTGAGAGCTTTGTATCCGGCTAAACACGGTTAACCCGTCATTACTTAAGGTTAGTACATTATTATTATTATTATTAAAAATTCAGGTGCAGTTCCTTGCAGTACTTTGGTTTTAAATGGAGATAGTGCATATCTCTTGACGGAGTAAACCGTTTTACAGCCAGCAAGCGCATGATCGCCGCAGATCGAGTATAAATTTGGACCTCTTTTAGGGAAAAATAATAATCGTTCTTTGCTTTAATCATTCTACCTTACATTCTCCAGCAGTCTTCGTGGCTTTGTTCTCTTATCGGCACCGGAACATTAACTTTAGCCTCGCGGAGACATTTTAATCCTTCTTTCACTCGCTCTAACAGCGAGGGGAAAAGATAACAATAGTTGCAGAGGCACCGAGGTTTTCCATCCAAGAAGGCCGTATCGTTTCTATATTATGAGATAACGCCCCACCCTCTCAAGAATAAAGAGAGCGAGCGAGAAACCCAGATTATTCTCGCTGGCAGCAGGTCTCGAACCATCTTAAAACCCAAGAATAAAAACCTGGTGGTATCTCTCGGTTTGGCTGCAACCGTGTCCACCGCGAGACCTTTTCAACTCTTGTTGAATTCAGTGGGCTAGAAGCCGGTTGACTGTGAAGACCGTAGTCCATAACGTCAGGAAAGCAGGTTCACAGGTACACAGCGTGACACGTTGATATATTTCTGGCCGGTTTAACAATGATAAAGCTTTATTAGTATTATTTTATTTGGAAACACCGCCCCTCCTCATTGCACCCTTTGCAGCGGTTCACACTGGAATAAATGATGTCGGAGGTCCAAAAGAGGGGTGGGGGGGTGAGTCTCGGTGACGGTGTTTAAAGTCTCCAGGTTTCTGTGATAATCTATTTATTGCCAGTAAGGATGCCCATTTCGGTGGGAAAATAATGATGATGATAATAATCTGACGGTTATTATTGTCTTTTCTTTTCCTTTTTTAATCCACCCGGTTTACTTGCAGCAAGAGAATGTAATTACTTTACTGCGGTCCTTAAAATAAAACATTCTAAAGACTCGACTAAGGCTTCTTCATGAATAATTTATATTACTAATTTAGAAGAGGAAGGGGGATATGTTCTTTTGGAGGGAATATACATATCAGACTCTTTCTTGAGGGATTCAGGGATTCGTTTTCCCCTCCCAGAGGGACCAAGCTCCTTGCATTTCTACGTCCACATAGGATTTCTTTTTTTAAAAAATTACTATCACATCAAATACCCTAGACCTCCCCCAACCCCCGCCCCCAGACATACAGACATTCAGCAACAGCAGCAGCTATCGAGGGAAAAAAATTAATACACACAGGCCTGAAATCTACCATGAAGGCATAACGTTAGGTAGGAGAGAAATGTTTCGAAATTTCTCCCCCATCGTCTTTGGAGGCTCCTGTCTTTGATCTAAAGGCATTTTGGATATTTCTGCAGAACCAGCGGAACGCTCCTTTAATAATCCTTTGAGAATGGGGTGCTCAAAGAAAGTCGAATCCGAGCTGAGATGGCGCTTGAGCCAGTTCAAGGTCACTGTCTAGTGTATTAAATGGGCTCTACATCTTATGCAAATGACTGTCTTGAAAGAACACCAGCTCTTGCCAGTGAGAGAGAAAGGGAGACAGAGAGAAAAAAGACCCTCACTGGGTGGGGGGACAGCTTGCTCTTCCCCGTCGACTCTTTCCAAAGCTTTGTTCCAATGTTATCTTCAGCATTCTAAGATCTGCAATAAAGTATATATTTCTCTCTCTCTCACACACACACACTGATTATAGTCCCTATGCCCTCAACTTTTCACTTTCTTTATTTTTAGATTTCTGCTTCCAGCAGCTCTTTACCACTGCCCAAGCTTCTCCCTATTAAAACCCCCGCAAGTTCATATAGTACCATCCCATACCTGATTCCCCAAAATGTTGTTTAAAATTACATTAAAAATGGACTCAGGAAGACCTGGCAGTTGCTGGAAGAAAATACAATTGAACTTAACCTTCTAGCGGAAAATTCCTTTCCCCAACATAAAAACTATACCGCCTTCCATTTCCCCGCTTCCTTTTTAACACCCAGTTGACATAGTCTCAACTTCTCTTTTGTGAGTATGTTACCAGGCAAAACCCAAACTCCGCCTGCAGTCCTAATTTAATTGAATGGCTTGATCACTAAAATTAAAATTAAAAAAATAAACAACATCTCAGACCATCTACTGACATCATTCCAGCCTTGAAAATGTCCTTTTTGAGACTAACAGAATATACTTATTAAGAGTGGACCTTACAAGTGGTCTCTAAAGGTTGAAAAGGACCACCAATGTTTATTGAAATTATTCTCTTTTAGCTATCTGAGTGTGAAAGCTTGAATAGATCAAATTGGATCGTTCTTATGAAATGCAGACGGGGAGAAAAGATGGAAGGGAATAACAGAATGAAATAGATACAGCAAAAGAAATGGAGAGAGAGTAAATTCTTTGGAAAGCATATATAAAATTAGATTTAAAAGCGTTTTGCATGGACTTTGAAATCAAATTAGAAGTTCCGTCTATAGTCTCTCTCTGTGCATTGAAGAGTTAAATGCTTATGATGCAGCTACAATTTCCCCAACACTGCCAGCAGAGGCTATCATTCTCCTGCTGGATTTATGTAAACAACTGCCTGCATCTTCAGTGAAGCAAGAGTATATCCCATAGAAGGCGAAGACAAAATAATTATAAGGGTTTCCTTTGTTTGGAGGGATGTTTATCTACATCTGTATATCGTCCTGCCTTGCTGTGCAATGTGCTTTTATGGAGCAGAGAAATCAATTTAATTCTAAATACATTGAAATAAATCTCCTTGCTCTCAATTGGGCTCAGTTCCAAGCAGAAAACTTTGGATCTCAATATCCAAAAGTTTTCTCAAACTTTTGTTAAAGGGTGACAAAATAAAGCAATCTAAGGCAACTCTCTCTCTCTCTCTCATAGATCTATGGATTTATGGAACATACTTCACTGGTATGGTGTGCATATCTGACCCTCTTTTATTAATAAAACAATTCTAAATGTAATTTCCTGGACTGAGGGTACGAAGGAAGGAAGATGATGAAGAGTACAGCGATTTAGCAACTTACCTCAGCTTATAGCTTGGTGTGAGAGCAAGCTCCCCCTCCCTCCGTACAAAACAGCAACTTTAAAAACTTTAAAAAACAACAACTTCAAGTGCAAGTGATACATGACTAGGAAATGGGAAAATAGAGGAAAGAGGGGGCGCCTTTTACTATAAAAGGCCATAGTTAAGAAGCTACTCAAAGCACTTAATACAAAGGAAAGAAAAGGCTAAACCTGGGAAGCTTCCTTTTCATGCCTTTATTGTTGGTCATTAGGCCGTCTGTCTAGACTTGAAATGACACCTTGTTTATCTGTAAACAGAAGCAAGGGACACTTTGGAGAAGATCAGCCCCTGCGTTGCTGCTAGAAGATCAAGTCCTGAGTTGTTGCAGGAAGATCAAGGCTCTAGCCTTGTTGAGTATTATGCGCGAAGCTCGTGATGTCAAGGTCAAATGGGCCGCATAGTCACGGTCAAGGCTAGCCCAGCAGTGACGTTATAGCGTTCCCAACCAACACCAACGACCAGCAAACTTACTCAGCACAAGGTGGACGGTGGACGGTCCCTGTGCATTCAGGGAGAAACGGGAAGGAGAGGGGAAACAAGACCATCTTCCATGTCTGTGAAATCCACTGACAACCCCGCCTCCTAACTCCCCACCCCGAAAAGGCTGATAATTCTGGGTGCAAATACATTAATTAGATTACAAACAGGTTCCAGGCCCACAGCACTGGTCAATTTTACTGGTAGGTTTGTCGGAGACTAGGCTTCACTTTTTACAATATCTTTTCTCCTTCCTCTTCTTCCTCACCAATTCTGCCTCCCCAAAGATGGTGAAGGTTGTAGAGACACGAGTGCTTCTTTACGATCACAGGTGCCTGTTAAAGCTTAGAGAAGGAAGGAGAACAAGAGGAAGTAAACTTTATACAGCCGTGAGAAAAGTAATGGCGGAAACGGACCTAAGAGGGTACCATAACATGATGCAGAAGTCTTTTGATTTCCTCGAACCCTGGTCCTTAAGGTATCTCTTTTATTAGGGGAAGGATAGAAGGGTGGATAGATGGAAGGAGGCAAACAAAGACAGACAGACAGACATATATACCTATAGGAGAGTGTGCGTGTGCGCCTGAGCAGACGCTTTATTCCAAGCAGTTTTAATGTTTTTATAAAGTTTCTTCATTTGTGTACATTGACTCTTTAGACGTCCATATTCCCTTGAAGTCAGCAGCCAATGTGCCTGGTGTTGGTGATTCTGGGACGCACTTCAACGCCCTCAGAATGTTGTTTCTGGCTTCATCCATTGATCACTTTCATACAACTCTTCTCCGGATTGCGACACTTAGGATGCGGTAGGAAGTGAGGTGAGTTCTGGTACAATTCAAAGCAACACAATTCTGCAGCACCTTAAAAGACACTGTTGCTCAAGCCCTTCGCAGACTCCACTTCGGGAGATATTCTCAAGGGGTCACTTAAGTTGTTATATAGGTAATAAACATGGGTGCCGAGCGAGTTTTACGAAGTGGGTCTCCCAAAGCTAAGAAAACTCGAGGCTAGTCCAAGACACAACACATTTCCATGCCGATCACAGATGTACATTTAAAATTATTGTGTGTGTGTGTGTGTGTGTGTGTGTGTGTGTGTGTTTAAGTTCAGTAAATATGGGGAGAGAGCGATATAGTAGTACACAGAAGATCCGATTCCCATCTAGGGGATACTATTGAATGGTCTGGAAGATGCCGAGTCCTCTTCTGGCTGTAACATCTCGAGTTATTATGAACTCCAAAAGATCAATGAAGCCCCTTTCCAATCAGCCTGGATCGAACGGATAGCGATTAGGGTTTGAGTGAAGTAGGATGGAGAGAGTTGCCACCCCTCCAATTGCAGGGGGCTGGACCCAGGGATGCTGCCCTGTGTCCTTCTCAACTTAACCCAAAGCAAAGTGCTCAACAAGATCTGAAGAGGAGCGACTGGATCTGTCAACCTGGTAGTGTGTGAAGTTGGTAGGAGTCGCACCCCGATCTTCAACATACTTAGGTGGAAGTAAGGGTGCCTTTAAATATATCCTCGAAGTTAACATTAAAGGGAGATACGTTAATACGTTAACCCACATCATGCAAAGTCTAAGGCTGCAATCCTGTGCAAGGTTCGGAGTGAGCCACATGGAAATCACTGGGGATTTGCTTCCGAGTAAGCACACATATAATTGGGTTGCTTATTCCTTCAGTCAATGGGTCTGAACTCCCAGTTCATCATTTAAAAGATCATTTATTTTGAAAGGTTTTAGGGGACTAACTTCCCTTTAATTTGCAGAATGAAGTGGACACCAGTTTTAAGAAGAAAACCCGAGTCTGCAATGGTAGACACGCTTACCTAGGAGTCCCAGTGAACTCAGTGGGTCTTACTTCTGAGTAGACATGGATAAATCAGCTTCAAGAACTCGGGCAGAATTTGATGGGCAACATTTAGTGCTGTTGCCCCACGTCCTCCTATTAACTTGGGGGGGGGGGGACGGCGGATAGAAGGGCCATCTAATACGTTTGTAAACCGCTTCGAGGTATTTTCTTACAATCTAGCGGTATATAATATGTATGTAATAAAGCAAACAAAAACTAAATTTCACCAGGAGCTCAGAGAAACTACAAGAGTTTCGTATTTTGCGGGGGGCGGGGAGGAGATGTTTAAATATGATACATTTTGCTCTCTTTCCCAATTTAAATTCTTTATTTGGCTGTTGATATTGTTTTTAGACATAAAGCGCTTTCTTTCAGACATAGGAAGAGGGAACAAGCCGAAAACAATAACCAACTCACAATATGAAGCAATCAAGTCTGTAACTTGAAAGTAACGAGCAATTCTTATATACACAACTTAAACTGGAATCGTTGGATTTAAGCAGATACACAGTCCGATGTACAGGCCAGCTAAGCTGAAAAAAAGGGACCTCAGTCGATATTAGTGGAAACTGAAGACAAAATGGCGCCGCTATCTCAATATCTAGGCTTAAAGGGGTTGCGAAATCAACTGCTGTACCGCCTGAACGCCTTGCACTGACTACATCGCAACTTCATCCCATAGAAGTATATTTAGGCTTATTGGCTTGCTCTTAATTCATCAAGTTTAGGTTGGGTCTGCAATCAATTGATTTTGGGTTTTATCAATAGTAGATTCAGTTGCTTAGGTTAAGGGGGTCCAAAAGCATATTATTTGAAAATCAATGGGTCTTGCCTGTAAAAAAAAAGGGGGGGCGGGGGTACGATCTACTCTAGCTAAACACAGCATAGATAAATCCAGTGAACTGGCATATTCCTAAAGAGAATCATTTTCAATTGGAATAAAACGGAACTTTTTGATCAATGCGTTTAAGATGGAGTCGTGGGCTTGTGGGAAGAGGGAGAGGTAATGGAACTTCAGTAAGCAGCCATTCAGATACCCTTCCTATTACCCCATAGCGAGACCCTGCTATAAGAACTCTTTGTCCATGTCTAGGGGTCATAATTGACTAAACTGGGCCAGACGAGACTGAATTCCATATGAGGAGAGTCATGGTATTCTATCTTAATCGGACTTGACTTGAACAGAGCGATATCTTTAGATCTCCCAAACTCAGGAGGGGTGCCTGCCCATATATATTTCCAGATTTTTTATTATCATTGTCAAACCCCAAATCCCAACTGAGCTTAGGAAACTTGAACCGATCTATTTTTCACCCTCTACCTGGGATTAAAAAACAACCGCCAAAGGACCCAACCCGGGTGAATATTTATAGTTTCTATATTTAAGACGGGAAGGGCGTGTCCGGTGCATTTCTCTTCGAAACCAGAAAGAGAAGGGGTTGTCTTAAGAGTACTTCTACACCACGTACCAAGAACATGAAGAAGGGGGAAGCGGGGTGAGGGCTGGTGAAGATCTCAGAAATGAAAGAGTTCACAACAGATTGGATGAGTTGAATTCAGGGCCTATTTGATTTCGGTGGAGGGGAAATGAGAATCCACCCAGTCTTCTCTTGGCCATCTTTACTGGTTGTGAGTGTGGTGGACCTCCATAAAACATGGTAGACAATCCATACGCTGTTGAATATATGCGATAATTTTATAAGGTTCTGATCATTAGAGGGCATCGAAGAGTCTACTGTGCGTTGGCGGAAGGGGTCAAATGTTCTTGGGCCTAATTTACAGAAAGTTAAGCGCCTAATGCCCTCATTCTGTGAATACTTCCTTGGAAATGCATTACATTGATATTGGTCAGGCTTTCCTGCTAGTAGTAAACAGAATTAGGACTTGGATGCAACAAGTCCCGTAAGATTCACATACCCCATTTAACTTACTCTGAACGGTCTTCACATAACAAAGGTTTGGGATATTAGGTACCTAATTAACCTGTCTTTTTATTAACCGTCCTTTGCACTGCAGACAATGGATCACAACCCGGCAGCGTTGGGGGAGCTTGATCCACATAGATTTTCAAGGGAATTGAAAAGTGAGCATAGTAGTACAGTACACAGGATCGTGGTCAGGAAAGGATTCTGTAGGACACGCAACATATTCAAAATGCATCTTAGGATATCTTTAAAAGGTACTCGAATCTACCTTCCTACCTATCTGCCCGCACTTGCTGTCAGCGACGGAACACTCTCAGGACCGGTTGTACGGGACATCGGTGACTCCATAGGCACTCAGTGTACGTAAAACCAACATTGGCTTAGCCTACATCGCTTTCAAGGCGTTTGCCGCTGACAATTTTACGATGTAATTAATTGGAACAAATATTAAGGAGGGTAGGTCTTGCCTAAGGAAACAAAACTAGTAACTACTGAGACTGTATTTAAGAGATCTTTGGATTTCCAAGGAGCTTTTTTGATCTGGTACTTCCCTCCTTACTTATTTAATATGCAAGGTTTAGCGCTAACTGAGAGCAGATGCATTTTTGGAAATCAGGAGCTTTTCAGCTCGACCCTACAGGTATTTACTCAGGAATAAATCTCACCGGGTACCACGGGATTTATTCGCAAGTAAGAATATAAGAAGATTGGAGCCCTGCTCTGCTGAGCACTCTGGTTGCGATCCTATACACCCTAAACAGGGAGCAAATCTCACTGAGCTCAGTGGGACTTACTGCCGAGTAGACCGCCTGCCTCTCATTCGAAAATCAGTCCCAGCGTCTTAAACAGGACGTGCTCCGGAATGAGGACGCACAGGGCTACAACAGCTCTCAGGAGACGGTAGTTGAACTCGCTGAGGCAAAGGAGACCTTTTCAAAATACTGTACAGCTTTCTGTGGCAGGGCAAGGTCGGGTGGTTTACTGGTCCTTCAGCAAAGTAATTTCCCATAAAGATATGAAGTCAAATGCCAGATTCGCTTGCTACAGCACCTCTCAATGAGGTGCGCTGCTCCATCTTCTGCGTGCAGCTCCCTTTCCTATCTCATGTCCCAGATATTCAGTCCGCTATTTGAAACAACCATTGAAAGTCTTCTAAGCGCATCTCACAACATATTCAATACCTCCTATGAAAAATGTTAAAATATCCACGTTAGTTTCTCCCCCCCCCTCATTTCCCTGCAAATGTTCTCATCGCATCACCTTTATCTCAATAGATTTCAGTCGGCTGTACATGGGAAAAACAGGTTGGGATCCGTATGTGATCTACTTATAAGTCACTCATCTAAACGTGTGTTTTTTTTAATAAAAAAACAAACAAGACAAAAAACAAACAAACCTGGGTTGAAAAACCAACCCAGTTTGCACTGCAAGCCTTCTCCACGCATGCTTCCCTCCTGGAGTAGTCCTATTGACAACAATGGAATTACTCTTGAGGAAGCAATGTGAGAATCTGAGTCCTCTTTTTTTTTCTTTCTGGAAAAAGCCGGATTGGATTGCGGATCAGTCTGCGTAAATCTGAACCTTTCTTAAAAAATTGAGGGGTGGCGGTGATATCAACTCCCCACTTCTCCTAGTATATAAAAAAAAAATAAGGTCAGGTAGCCATATGAGTTTTTCGAGGCAGAAAAAAGGGGAGGGGGGAAGAAAGAGAGAGATTTATTTTTAAGAAATGTATTCTGCATTCAGTACATATCATTCGGACACCACATTATATACATATACAAGACATTTTTTTTCTTTAAAAAAATGGATCGCTTTAACATGGAGAAAGAACACTGACTGCTCTTTAATGACTGATAATGGGGTGAGGGGGGACAACAACAGAGCAACGTCGCGCACTTTCCATACTGTCGATGGAGAATAAACATTCCAGACTTTTTGGCGGAAACAAACAAACAAACAACAACAACAACTCAACCTCAGTGAGAACATATTCCAGAAAATTAAAGGTAATAATAATAATAATTAGAGACACGATCCTCCAGCATTAAGACTTGGAAATCCCATTTATACCCAAACTTGATTCCCTGCCCCCGCTATGAAAATCAAGCCGATCTGGAAGTGGCTATATTCGGCTGGATCGTGCCCTAGGAATTACACAGCCACGGTGCCACTTCAAATTCAGAAGTGACTTCAAATTGTTGCGTGCAATACGGTCTAATATCAGGAACACAGCAACAACAAAACATTCAGGGTAGCAGCCTTATTATTATTTTTCATTCATTTTTTTAAGGTCCACGTTTAAAAACAAACAAACAAACAAAAGAAATCTAGGATTTCTTCGCTGGATCCGCTGTCAATACCTTCTTCACAGATATATATATATCTATTTCTATATATATATATTTATCTATTTAATTATAATTATTATTATTTTTACACCATCAGAAACAGCCAAAGAAATGGAAAATCTTTGTTCAGCTGCAAGGGGAGAGGCTTGGACTATGATACAGAGCTACAAAATAACATTCAGGATTCCAACGTAGCAAATCTACATATTTGTATGTGTGTGTTCTCCCCTCCCCTCTTTCTCCACCCCCCTCCTTGCTAAATGTGCACATTGAAAACCATATCAAAATGAATGTTTAAAAAGGGCGACCGGATTCACAGTTCGAGACGGCAACGCAGGGACAAAATAAACCGAAGATGGCGGTTTAATGCCCGCCCCCTCCGCCTTGGTGTTTTTAAATAATCAGATTATTCAAAGAGTTCGAATGCGTGTTCTTATTTATACAAATTTACCAGATAAATATTTGTATTTGTTTGTTTGTTTCTCTCCCCCTTTCTTTTTTAATTTTATCTTTTTCCCCCTCCGGAGAGATTTCTTTGTCAGGTAGCGTGAAGGTGAGGTGTCTTAGATTTGCTAACGACTTTTTTCTCTTTCACCCTGCGATTCTGAAACCAGATCGTGACCTGGCGCTCGGAAAGATTAGTGGTCGCCGAAATCCTTCTTCGCTTCTCTTTGGTAATGAACTTGCTGGCGGCGTATTCCTTTTCTAATTCTTTCAGCTGGATTTTCGTGTAGGGGACTCTTTTCTTTCGACCCCTACGGTAGCTGCTCACTTCGGGCTGGAGAGGTACCACATCTGTAAAGATGAGGAGAACAGGAAAGGGAAAAAAAAGCAGGAGAGAGAGAACGTGGAAGGAGAGAGAAAGAGAGAGAGAGAGAGAGAGAGAGAGAGAGAGAGAGAGAGAGAGGGTGTATGTTACATTAAACAGCATCTGGTAAACTAACTGGACAATGTCTGTGCCAGACATTATGGAGAGAACAGAGAGAGAAATAAGAAAAGGAGTTTGTATGCGTGTGGGGAAAAGGATATAAATTAGAGGAAGAGGGGGAAATGCGAAGAGGAAAGACCGAGGGAAAGAAAGAGCGGGAGGTGCTGGGACTCGGATGGGCTGGCTGGCTGAGCAAAGTATTAATATATTAGCATAGGGCGGGGGGGGGGGGAACTGCTACTATTCCAGGCGATATTTGTCCAGGACAGATATAAAGAAAGAGCACCAAGTCACGGACCAGGCATTTCGCAAGCACAGCACCCTTAACGTTAGCTCCAAAATTAGTAAAAATTGGAGACAGAATCTAACCTTCAGCTCTTCACTCCCCTTCTAAGCATCCGGTCAATTTTAATCTGTCGTTTTAAAAGACAGAACCTCTGATAGCCTAGGCGACCTCATTAATTATGCTAGCTCGTAGGATCCGGGTAGGGGACTTGGTGAGGGGAATCAGCCGTGTGTGTGTGAGTGCGCGCGTCTGTGTTGTTCTAGAGACGCTCCGCACTGATTGATCTATGCAACACAAGGACCATCTGCAAGCTTGAGGGACCTTGAACTAGCCTGTCCACATCCTTTGTCGCTTATGGTAGAGGCATTAAATAAAATAAAAGGGCCCAGCGGCTTTTTTGACGGTACTCACGCTGTTGAGAAATGTTACCTACCTACTCCTGGTCCAGAACCGGCTGGGGAATCAATGAATTCTCATCACCCCTAATGCATTCAGTCTTCTCCTTAATAGCCCCTTATGCTAAGGCTGTCTATGCCAATTCTTCATGATTAACTGTAATCACTTGCGCATCAAGTCCCTCCCTTCCCATGGCTTCTTGATCTAAAGATGCAGGCTTAAGACTCGATACGAAGTAAGAGTGGTTTGCGGAATAATAATATAAACACTGAAAAAAGAGGGGATCCCTATCGAAGCAAAGCGAAAATCTCTCCAGTTACCCCAGCCGGTCTGTTCCATAACAGATATAAAATAAAGAAACAGCCTGAACTGCTTTTGAAGACACACTTCTCCGTGCGATTGCTCTTCCTTTGTTTCTAAGAAGTATCTATATAAGCAACGTTTACTGGGAATCCTATCAAGGCCCAAGGATAGGAAAGCAAGACAAAATTGTGGTTCACACTACTGCGAGCGCGCTGTCTCTCACACACCTCTCAATGTTTGGGAATTGGTGTATGGGGGCTTAATAATATTATCAGGGCTATACAAAAATGGGATCAGAATAAATAAGGTAATGGGGCGGGTTGGGGGGGTGTGGGAAGAGAAGAGAAGTTCATTTACAACGTCTTCCACCTTCCTCCCGAGCAATAGTAACGCACGGAGCAGGTCCTTCCAACCTCAACTACATTTTAGCCAGGCGGGTGAAAGCAATGAAGATGGGGGAAGTCATCTCATGCTAGGAATCCCATGGACCTCTCTCCCCCACTCGCCGAACCCTCCCTTCAGCTTCCGCAAAGAAGTCTCAATGCCTTCTTTTTTTTAAAAAAAGCGCGGGGTGGGGGACTTTCCCCTAGCCATCGACCCTTCCAAGCTCTGACACCAATATGTGGCTCCAACACAGTTAAGATCTAGATAGGCCTTCTCTCCCACACTCGCTACACTCTGATTCCTCTTCCCATGGAAAGGGAAAACCCATCATGCAACGCTCTGCGCAGGCATTGTTGGCAAGCCCTGTCTTATCCGATGGGGTATCCCCTCTCCAGTATTCCTAAGATAAATGTGTGTGTGTGTTCTCCTCCTAACTCCACCCCCTTATTTATTTATTTCCCCGGTTACTTTATCTTAATCTCTTCGCTCCAATCCATCCATTCGAATCATTAAGAGGGGCCTGCTTATTGATTACAAGGTGGGGACCCCAAGAGCAAAGGAGACGTCCGTTGGTCTTTCATCTTTCTCCCTCTCCCTCTCCCTCTCGCTCCCTCCCTCCCTGTTCTAAGTGGTAAGGCAGTAAGATAAGCCCGGAGCACTCCCAGCTTTCAGGGTTACTCGCAGGCTGTCACTCATTCCAGATTTCTAACCAGAGGCAAAAGCAGCGCCTTATTTCTCGTTCTCTCCCCACTCGTCTTACAAGGTTCATTTTGTAAGATTCATGTCACTTGACAGCTACTTCTGTAATTGCAATATGATTTACTGTACCTTTCCGAAAAGCGCAGCCTTTCTGAGTAAAGAGAAAGAGAGGGGGAGAGAGGGAGAGAGGTGCCACCTCTTCCTATGTTCTGAAATTTAATTTAAAATATTCAAAGCGTGCGGGGGGGGGGGGAATCAAAGAAAAAGATAGAGATCCAGGTAAGGGAGCCAACGCAGCGAGGGAAGGAGGGGCACGCACGCACATACACAGACAGACACAGGAGTGCAGCTGCCAAACTGGCTGCGAAAGCACCCTGGAGCTCCAAGGTACGTATCTGGATATGAGAACCGGCTGCTTTGTTTCACCTTCTTCCCCATACGTGCCCATGCAAGCGTCCCAAAGCCTATTTTACCTGGGCGGTTAAAGATATAGCATATGCACGCGATCATGCCGGAGCAAAAAAGCGCAGAAGTCGATCTCAAGAGCACCCTACCTGGGAAAGGTGATTTCCAGAGATGGGTAGACTGTGATTGCTCCTTCGAGCAATAGACCTGCCCGTCCCAACCATTAGAAAGAGCCCAGTGTTGGTATCCTTCCATGGGAAGCAGCGCGTCGTGTCTTGGTTCTGGGTGGCCACTGATACCTGGAACCACTGATACGTCCAAATAACCAGGAACCGCCTGGTAGGAGCTGGCAAAGCTCGGGTAAAAAGCAAACTCTTTGGCCCTTGAGGATAGTTCTTCGCTGGGGAGGGAGCCGCTGGGCTCGGGGTATTTTTCAGCTGGGTGGTACGAACAAGGCTTCTGTTGTAAGTTCACGTTGTGGGAATGGGACAATCGGCATCCGTAGTAGCTGCCTCCAAAAGGATAGCCATAGCCCAAGGTGGCGTTGGAGGAGGCTGGTGGCGCGGGGCACTGCCTGGCGGCATCTGGAGCAGGTATATCCGTGTAGACAGAACCCTGGTGAGTCCCAATGGTGCTGGAATGACGACCCAATACCGGGTGACTGATTAAATCCCTGCAGTGGGTAGCTGGGCAGTTCCCACTTAGCCCTTCCATTGCTGGGATTTTATTCTGGTTATTTTCATTCGGGTTCTCCTCATACACGTACATGAAGGTATCCGCCCAGCGTGGATGCAAGATCAGTGAAGTCGTCATATCATGGTCTGCCCGAGCTTTTTAAAACTCGACTTCCCAAAGAGAGACACCTAATTTCCCCAACATATTGTTTACGCAGGAGCATGCGCAGAGGCAGCGGGATGGGTTCGGTTCATTAAGAAATCCGCCGGGCCACGTGACCTGTAAATAGCTCTCGCTGCAGTTAGCTCGGCCATGTGACCCTCCGGCAGCCCTATCACATTGTTCCTCTTGGCTTGGGGAAGAGAGCGGCGAGCTCCCATTGGCTATCTCTCCGCGACAGAAACAGAAATCCTTAAAGGCAAAGGGAGACACCCATTGATTGTAAAGAGCGTGGGGAAATAAAAAGGGGAATGTGGGTGTTTAAAATTTGGCCGACACAAAGAGATTGGGATATGCCATGCTTTGTGCCTTCAGATATCCTCAGGATTAAATATCAAACTAATGATAGGAATAATATACTTCAGAAAAGCAATTATATGTATATTTAAAACACCCTCTCGCTATATAGCATTGACCAGGAGCCTGGTCAATGAACCGCAGAGGGGAAGGGTAGCTGGGAGGCTGAAAGGTGAGGAAAACCTAGAAATTGTAATACCAAGGGATATGATATAAAGCGAGGTGGCAGGTAGCAGCCAGTTTATCTGATAAAGAAAAAAATAGTGACTATCTGAAGAGGCGCACCAAAAATGAGAGAAGCTCAAATTCTAGAAGACCAAATGACGGACTAGAGCAAGTGAACTGGAGCTGTGGGGGCTGGGGGCGCTTCTTTTTTTTATTCTTAAAATTCGCTTGCTGTCTGTCTGGCTTTCTTCTCCGCCCTCCCCCTCCCTGCATCTTCTCTTTCTGGGAATCAAGTATTGGATCTTACGGGAAGTAAGGAATCTGGACATTTATCGCCCAGGAAATTGATTTTCTCTCAGTCTGTTTCAGTCTCAAGAGTGAATGGGGAGATTAATATCTGTTTGCTAAATAAATAAATAAATAAAAATCAGCGGATACATTTGCTCAATAGAATTGTGCGTATGTTTTTCTTCCAAAGTACAGTATCTTATTTTTCACAGAAGAAGGTATGTGAATTTTTAACCCCTTGTTTGCTTAACAAAAGATCAACGCATACCTGCTCATTATAATCGCTTTAGCTTTTATTCTAATTATTAAAAATACAATTTCCCACAGAAGGGACATATATGACATCTTTAACTCCTCTTTTGTTTCTTGGAGGGGTATTTCTCTATTTCTTTTTTGTTGATGATCAGTATTCTGCTGCTTTTGGGGCATAAAAGAGAAAGAAAGAAAACCGTCCGCCACCTCGCAAGAATATAATAGATGCCTCCAAAACGTTTCGACGTTTTATGGGGTCTGTTCCTTGTATGAGTCCAACCCAATAATGCTTAATCTTTCGTGCTCAACCAACTGGGGATGTTTTAAAGGGGCTGGTTGTGATTATGATATTATGTTATTAATTTTTAATACTTGAGTAGTAGGCAGCAACAATGCCTACTATTGAAAGTGTGTGTGAGATATATATATAATGTTCTCAGTGTTGATTTGTGTGCGTGTGTGAAAGAAAATAAATGCAACTCATATCATACAACGTAAACAGGATCGGAGATGGATGGGTTATAATTAAACAGATGAAATAGAATAGCAGACTACTCTGCCAGAGATTGATGGCTGCGACACACACACACACACACACACACACACAAATTTCTCGGGGACTCATGTCTCCCCAACCTTCAGAATCCTCTCACTCGCCTTTCCTGATTAGATTCTGATCGATGCTTTTGAAATAATGTGAAATTTAACTGGAGAACATCAGGAGCACAGGCTCCTTCCACTTCCCTCCCTACCCCCACATTACAAAATATAAGTTTGACAAATCAGTGCATCCAGATATGAGGATGATAGTGTGCTAATGAAGCTAGAGCAAAGAATTAATAGTTCAGACTTCCGTCCCCCACACAGCTTACAGGCCAGTGCTGTGCGTGCTTACGCGGGGAAAAAAAGTCTTACCGAGTTCAATATTATGTACTTTCAAAGAATGGTCGGTAAGCTTCAGTTCAAGTGAAGTCAGTGAAATCCCATTGCAGCCCAAGCCTCAGTAGTGGTCAAGAGAAGCAAAAAATCTTATGGAACTCTCACCCAACTCTACCTACCGTAAGCTGTTCTTTTCAGTTGAGAACGTCAATACAAACAACTCTATATGTGATTATAAAGGCAGGTGAAAGTCCACTTGCTCTATGTTTTGTTGGAAAGACATAAGAGTACCAAATGCATGTAGTATAATGTATGTGTTAAATAAACATTAATTCACCAGTTAGAATAATCATCATCATTTGCCCATTGTTTGGGAACATGCCTATCACGTTTGGAGTTCTCAGTATGAATTTCCCCCAAATAAATACATTATTTTTTTCTTTAAATCCTCAAATGGCAATGTCTCTCTTTGCAGCAGCATTTGCTGCCTCCAAATTCCTTAGATCTTCCCGTCATCAAACTGCCATGGTCCAAGTGGAAACTAAGACAATTCCGCCAAAACCCCCAACAAAGAACCCTGTCTAGAAAATGGCTTTCAGAAATGAAGTCTTTAGCAAACGTTTGGTTTTCTCCTGGAAACGTTCTGCCTTCTCAAATGGACTCCATGCTTTTGAAGCAACCGTTGCCCGAAGTCCTTCGGCCACAGCAACCAAATCAGTCCGAAGTCCAAGGTCAAGGCAAAAGAGACAAACTGGCTCGCAATTAGTGTCTAGACAGAAAAGAATGAACTTCACATATAGTGCCTATGTGGCTGGGAAGCCCTCGAATCCAAAGGAACGGCCATTGCTAGAAACGGGGAGTTGGGAGAGAAGGGGGGTCACTTTAAATAGTTGGAGGCAAATTAAGGTTAGGGAACCCTGGATGAAATCACATTTTAAAGCAGCGACAAGCAAGACGCTTCAAGTTCCTGGAGCTGGTTGCAAGAGTTGGTGTCTAGAGTGGTTCACATCCCAGTGACCGGTTCTTCAGAAGATATACCTCATTAAAATATAGTTATATATATATATATGGGGTATATGGGCAATTGACAATATCAGCCCAGAAAGGGTGGGGATACATGCATGAAAAGCAAGACTTCTAATGTGGGTGATGGCGCTGGGGTGAGAGAGTGGCTCCGGTAACAAAGGACCCAGTTCTGTGCTTGCAGCAGCGAGGATGACTCTTCCTACCGGAGGAGAGTGGACGTTCCAAGGTTGCCTTACGGCAGAGGAGACACAATCTGGAAATGGACAGATTGATGGTAACCATAATAAGGGACACTACTGGGTTGTGCTTGGTTTTGAATTCGTGCAGAACAAATACCTCATTTCTAGGATGCTTGCTTGCTTGCTTGCTTATTTATTTATTTAGGTGTGCTTCCTGAGTAAGGAGGAGAATAGTAGTAGTAAATAAGCAAAAGATGTCCGGTATTTATTTATTTATTTATTTATTGAATGCAAGGCCATTTACAATTCCTATTTCAATGACATATAGGTTTAATTAAAATTGGGGTTTTTACAATTCCGTTTATTGTGGCACATTTGCGACAGGGAAAAGGGGAGAAACCGCAAAGACGAAAACTCGAGAAAATTTGCACATTTCATGCTCCGGGAAATTAACACTGGCTTTAAACTTTGGTGGAAATTGCAAAATAAATAAGGCCGGAGGAATGAATCCATCCAGCCTTTTGTAAGAAATGCAGTGTGTGTGTGTGTGTGTGTGTGTGTGTGTGTGTGTTTTAAAGGAAGTGGGGGTGGGTTTGCATTTCTTAAACAGCAGGTTTATCCCACGGCCTGGCGTCCCCTTCATTTATCTGCCTTGTCTTGAGCTGCTTTTCATTTCATAAATTGCTTAGCGGTATCTCATTTAAACGGGCTGATCTTGCTAAGATACGGAGCTGTGGATTGATAGCAGGAGTCAATTCTAGTGGGTTAATTAACTTAAAAATGCATAAGGAGGCTTCTATCTTCGGGGGAAGAACACCGAGCAGATCTGTTTACTACATTTGCCGTGATGCAGTATATGAAAAGGGCCCCAATGCAAAGAAAGAAAGAAAGAAAGAAATTTTCCTGGACTATATTAGAATCCGGTATCTGTTGTTATTGCCGATAAGGGGTACATCTCCCAACCGCCTCCCCCGTGCATGTTGTAGACATATTGACATCCTGTTTCATAATCAGAACAGTCTATGAGAACAATGCGATAAAAATATAAGTGAGAACACTGAAGAATTTTCGGTATGGAAGTCAACATATACTATGAAGTAAGTCTCACTCGGATCAATAAAGCTTACTCCCAGGTAACGATGTATAAAATTGCAGTCCCACATGCTAGTAAGACCCATCTATATGCCTGGGATCCGACTCTTTATGTGTGAAAAAAACCTGTTCAGCCGAAAACAAGTTTCATAAGAACAATAACATAAATTTCAAATTGGAAACCAGGAGGAGGAAGCAAATGCCAAATTCTTTATTAGTTTGATTGCAAAGTATATGATCTGATTTAGGAAATGAGGGGTGTATTTTTAAAATAATTAAATCAAAGCCCATCAATTGTTTGGGAACAATTGTCAATATTATACAGATCGTTCCTTGGAACTTAGGTATTATCTATTGTAGGAGACAGAAAGTCTATGAGAGCGGTAAGTTTATTTCCCCCAGTACATTATTGTTAGAGAACTTTTGTCACCTGGACGGATTTTTTCCATGCTGTATGATATTTCTGTCAAAAGTCCAGAAACTAGCCTGACCTGATTAAGACATGAATCCAATACCTTCCATTTGTAAAGTGCTAGAACCCGGTGATGCAAATTCATATATCGTCTCAGCCCTACAAAAATTAGAAATAAACATGTTTCCACTAAAATATATACTGTTTATAAACAGAGTCATAGCACAATTCTATACACTCTGATCAGAAGTAAGTCCTATTGAAGTCGGCAAGGTTTGCTCCTTCTGCAAGTATAGGATTGCAGCATTACAGTGCAATTCTAACCAGGACAACTCAGAAGTAAGCCCCACTAAGTTCAGTGGTACCTACTCCCAGGTAAGTGGGCATAAGATTGCATCCTTAATGTATGACCTGTGGGTAAAAACTTTTTTAA